AAGGATTTGGCCCAGGCCAATCCCCATATATAGTTAAAATATGACGCAATCGATGTGATGTGAATCAAGGCTGTGCTCAAATCACAAACTCTCCACAGGCCAAATCACGCTGATTTGGCCGAGACTCAAGACCCTCGGCCAAATCCAAAAAGGCATTTCCATCAGGCCAAAACGTTGCCGAGCGAACCGTCAGCCACGTGATAGATTGAGACGCGTCGACACACAATCAAGACTGTGAGTGTCATACAGCTGTTGTCACGGAGTGGAAGCTCGGGGATTTGGGAGAAGTTCGTGCAGTTTGAGGTAACGTACGCTCTGTGCCATCACTCGTTTTGCTTGTCCACACTAGCCTGCTGATTAAGGGCCAGTAGAGCATATAAACCAACAATTCCTAGAACCAACTCCTCTTCTTCCTCCTCCTCATCCTCATCAATCCATATTTGAAGTAAATCATAGGATGCCGGGCTCGTGGGAGCAAGTAAGAAAGAGGGATGGTTTTAGATGTGCATTATCGCTATCGATCAAGCCCGATCCGGGAATCACCGGCTGGCCTCGATTTCGTCTCCGGATTCACAGTGAGGCCAAATGTCACGTTACCATTACGTGATTTCTGATTTGGCCCGGGCCAAATCCTTACGGAATGTCGTCCACTTTCGTCCCACGTTGCGGCGACGAGGCCTAGAGCACCCGCTGCCCATCCAGGCAAATGTTCTCGTTATCATAGAAGAATCGATGCTGTCTAGTTGTTCATTCCCTGCCGAGTGTGCGGGCTTCAGATGAACTGTTCTGCCGGGACTCGTGATATCTCAAGTATATTCGCCTCGACGATGATCGACCGCACAAGGACTGCGCAGTTGATTGTTTGCCAACATATGTACATTTGACTACATTGCTCGTTCTCTTGTCGACGATCGGTGAGAAGCAGCACCGTGTTGTTGTCCTGTCCTGGGTCATTTGATTTGTCTAAAGCCGCGCGGGCCACTGCAAATGCAATACTCATGCAAAGGAGTGGCAAGCTGGGCAACTATGCAGATGAGTGAGAATTCTCGATACGTTGGACGACAATCGGATTGCACGTACATTCTGCCTTGCTAGCGCCATGGAAGTGGCGGCAGCAAGACTGAACCTCGTGTGCAGGGCAATACCCTGGACACGATTCACACTATTTGCTGGAGCACTCCGGTGCTCCAGCAAATATATGGGGCACTGCTGGCACCGCCCGTGAATGGGATGGGATCAATCTGGCAGAGGCCCTGGCTACAAGTAACAGAGTAAGCTTGCGACGAGAAACATGAAAGCGACTTACGCCGCTGGCAAAAAGGCTCCGTCCAAGGTGAATCCATCGATCTTATCCCCTTCTTATAGAGCAGCAAAGCCTTACGTGAGCGTGTCTGAAATGAAACTTCGCTCCTGATGGGAGAATGGAGATGTGCCACGGTGGAGATCCGAAGGTTCGAGCCAAGTCTGATTGAAAGAAACCAGTGCGTGAGTAGGCCGGTCAGCATGCATATCAAAATCCGGCTGAGTGTAGTGATTGCGGCTTCGAAGATCCTGCCATGCAAGTCTACGCCTTGAAGAAGGGTGGTTCGCACGCATATCGAACAGACTAGCACGCCCATGCGCCCATGCGGATCTAGATTTGATATCCAGTTACTTATAAGTACATCAGAGACCGTTCGCAGGCCCAGGATTCAAACATGAACGCGTAATTACGATGAGGTGAGGGCTTGGTGATCATGCACAACATCCGCTAGAGGCCATTGAGGTAGAAAAGTAAGGAGCTTCGAGAACGCAGAGGCCATGAGCGTGAGGAGTCGGAGATAAGCACAGCCGTATGGCAGAACTCTGAAGGGTCTTTCGAATTCAGATGGGTACAAGAGCGTTGTGGTGATGGTTCAAAGGGGGCAATAGTTTGTGATCGACAGCAGTGGCACACTGGCAAACAAGTGACTGTAGCCGAGCCGTTCTTGTCCTTCCCTGCGACGCCCTCGCTCTCGATGGTCCCGCAGCAGAACGCCGAAGCCGGCCCATCCACTGTCCTCTATCTTAAGCCTAAGGGTACCTCGGCTGGTCCTTCTCCAGCGCCTTGTTAACGCCTTCCAGCCCCCCCACACCCAGCGCCTCGCCTTGCCAGCACCCAGGACCTCCTCGCTCGCTTCCAGCTCATCCCTGCATACGACAAGTATGTCCGCGGCGCCGCAGAAGACTTTGCCGATGCCCCAGACAAGGGCAAGGGCAAAGCGCGCGAACTGAACGGGAGCCCGGTACCCCAAACTCCCGGAGATCAGGAACCGGACGATGAGGACGGTGGGCTTGCCAAGGGAGAGAAAAAGAAGAAAAACTCGTATAAGCACCTCATCAAGGGTGTCCCTGGTGCGTGGTCGGCGACGTCTCATCCCTTCTATGGCGCTGATTGATTGTTAGGACGACATTCGATGAAAAAGGACGACTACCTCACGACCATAATGCAGATGCCCCCGAAACAGCATGTTAAGATCGTTAAATTCGATGAGAGGACGCAGCAGGAGGCGTTCCAGGTCTCACCCGAGGGCCTCAAGGGTGTGCGTACTGGTTTCTGAGCCTCGGCCCACACAGACTGTTCTTACTCGCGAACTCAGTGGAATACTGCTGCTCTCATCCAGGAGTCCGCACAAGCACGGGAAGACCGCAAGAAACGAGTGCGTTTGGGGGTCTATCAAATCTACAGAGATTTACTCGATTTTGTAGAAGGAGCTCAAACGTTTGGCGAAACAGCAGATCCACAATGCACAGTCTGGCATCGCAGCCCCCTCTCCTGCCGCCGGCTCTGTCGGCACCCCACGCCCAAGTGCATCTACACCCCGTACGACAGCAGGGACCCCGCGAGGAAGCGCCGGCACTCCCCGGCCGTCAGTTCCACCTGTTATGGTCCCCGGCCGAGTCGGGACTCCTCAGCGGAAGGGAACTGGGACACCGACGAGCAGCCTTGGCACAGGGACACCGACGAGCGCACACCCGGAGCGAAGCCTGAAGCGAGAAAGGGAACTAGAGCCACACGCGAATGGAATGCCATCAGGTGCAAGTGGTATGAATGGGGCAGTTGGGTCCGCTGCAAATGGAGGCGGCACTGTTCCGGTCATCACTGCCGCTAAGGCTGGGATCGCGGGTGCGCGACCGCGACCAGTCAAAAAGCAACGAGTGGTGCGTGGTCCCATGCTACTCTAGGGCACAGTCTCCATTGCCTCCCAGGATATGCAGGGTCAAAGTCGTGACGTTAGCTTGGGGGCTATCCAGCAGCAACCAACGCCACAGGGTGTGTAATGAGTCGCTGCACTTCAACATACATATTTTGTTTACTTGTCAAACTTGCATTTACATTACTTACAATCGATTACACTTGCACTTGTTCACAAAGCTGGCAGGGCTACTAGTCGCGACGGGGGTCGATCCAACTACCTGATTCAGAGGGTAGTGGGATACATTGTATAACCGCACGCCAAGAGATGCAAAAAGGTAGGTTAGCCACATGGCCGAAGAAGCGGAAAAATTGCTAAGTGACTTCATTTAGCACGCGACACGGATTCCTCTAGTAAAAGGCGAGAGGAATGTGGGATTGTGGATGCTAACGCCACTGAGACGCCTTGCAACAGTCGGACACTGCCCACCAAAGTCGTGTACCTTGCCCCGCGCCATGTTACAGGCCACATTGTGCTTATGAGCTCGGCTAAGTGGACCAAACCGTCCAAGCGAGTTAGCCTGGTCCCACAGAGTGGGCAGCAGCCAGTCGAGGCAAATGTGCGAGCGGACTATCACGAATCGCACGAGGATTTCCGCTTGAACGAAGCATGTCGAGCAAGCCAGCATCTTCCAGGCAATGTAAATCATTGCCAGACGCGGAGAGCTTAGGGCAAGGGTAAGCGAGACAGCCGAAACAAAGTCTGAATACAAGACGCGGTGAATCTGCTTCATCAGGCTATGATAACGTGCACAATACGTAGCATGTAACTGAGCTCCCGTTGTGAGGGGAAATGCACCGTGAGCTTCTCTGGATTCGAGACTTGAGTATCGGGCCCGCCGTACAGCTCCCGTATGCGCAGGATATTCAATTATTGCTTCTGTTCTTCCGATAGATCGGTGCGACTAGAGGCTCAAAGGGAAAGGAGACCGGGAAGATCGTTGGCAGATTAGATGGCGGATCACCAGGATCCAAGCCCATGATGCGCATCAATTATTTCAAGCTCCGACCGATCACCACTATAAGAATGACTCGGCAGGCAGTGCCACTTCTTTGGTTCTTGGATTGACCCCTTCGGCTCGGTATGTTTTAGCGTTTCTCGTCGGCCCGTTTCACATTCCTAATTCTTACTTCAGTACGCCGTCGTAAGCTCACGACGAGCTTCTTTTCCCGTTCGCGACGGGACGTAGCCTGCGATGCGGGCCTGAAAGACCAGAAGGCACTGCTGTTCTGGCATCGAGTCACAGGTCGTATACCTCGTTGACTGTCTCGAGTGCGAACTCGCACTCGAACAAATAACCGGTCGAGATGTCTCTTCCGGCGGAATCGCGACAACTGCTGGTTGTTCGCACCGACACCTCCACCCAAGGACCCAGGGTGGATGGACACCCCAGTTGCGTTGGCCGACGCAGGGGTTTTTTACTCGCTTTGGCGAGTAACGTGGACTGTATTGCAGTCAAGATTCCTGTGTATACTGTGCACAGGATATGGGACAGCGACGAGACTGCTCTCCTTTGCGCGCTTTGTCGCGCAACGGTGTTCTACGCCGTATCTTGTTGGATATATTTTCCGATGAGATTGAATCTGTAGTGTTGCGCACTTCCGAGACGATCCTCTGGACCAGACGATTATCTAGGAAGTGCTGAAACATTACAGTCTCTGCATGTACGTGACGTGTCTGTCTCGTGCCTTCGATCGTCACTGACAATCATCCTCAGGCTTGTCATGCAGTTCCAAATCAATTACCCCAGGCCACCCCCGCTTTCAGTGTCCACTTACATCTTCGTCAAGCAGTAGTGTAGTGTATATTGAGATGCCCAATAAAGTACGGGTTTCCCGCCAATTCTGTGTGACTTTGAATTTGTTCTGTTCATTTTGTGTGCGCTTCGAATGACCATGCCTCTCACCGCCTGATGTATTGGCCGTTCTGTGCGATTATGTAGGCAAGATTCGCCGTGATATGTATACACAAGCCAAAGTCTAGCGATACGACACGTGCGATACACGACTTGCTTCGTAACCACCATGTCGTCGGATCTGGTCTTGAGCAAGATATTGGCGCAACTTGAAACGATGCAGGGGCAGCTCGACTCACTGACGGGTGCGAACAAGACGAATGGAGGCCCCGCGCTCCCCAGCAACGGCACCAGGCCTATCAGCGTCCCGGCGGGCAGGTCGGTCTCATCGAGCTCGGACAAGATCGGCGATCTGGGGACCTCCCCTAGCTCGGTCTCCTCTGTGCCGCTGCATCACATCCTCTCCGACGTCACCACCAAAGAGAAGGAGCGCGAGCGTGTGCTGTACCCCGGGCGTGTCAACCTGACGACGTATCCCGGCCAACACAACATCACGCCGTACCCCCTGCAGTGGGGCGCATTGGCCCCGACCGAGCGTGGACCCGTGGTGTGCTCGCGGCTGCCGAGCAGCATCAAGATGCGCAACGCGCTGGGTGCGCACAGCGGCTCGTACTCGATCTACCGCGCACTGTCCATCGCGATGGGCTCCCTATCGCCGAACCACAAGCCCGATTACACGATGACGGAGCCGCCGGTGGAGGTTCCGCCCAATCCGGCGTGGGGATCGGCGGGTGGGTGGACGATGAGTGACAAACCCGCGAGCGGGAACTACGGGCCGATCGTCAGCATGGACCCGTATGGGCATCTGGTGCAGACGGTGTTCAATCGGGAGATCGAGGAGCTTGGCCTGGACGCGCGGCCGTCGATCGCGATCACGCGTGCGCACATCAAGATGAGCGAGTTGGACGAGTCTGTGCGACGGGGAGAACTGGAGATCGACGGCAAGATCGTGCTGAAGACAGCAGACCTGCCGGGGCTCGCCGAGTCGGGTGTCGAGGTGACGGTGAGCAAGGCTGCGGTCGAGCCTGTATGGCATCTTCCCGGGGTCGCCGAGCGATTTGGAATGTGCGCTGCTTTCTTGGCTCTAGTCAGGGATTCTTCTAATCCATGCTCTACTAGCTCCGAGCTGTTACTGCGCCGCGCTCTATTCGAAGAGACTGGCGGTTCTTATCCGGAGCTGATCACCCGTCCCGATATCAAGGTCTTCCTCCCCCCTATCGGTGGTTTGACGGCCTATATCTGTAAGCATCGATTTAGCAACGAGCACTAAGAGCTAACGAGATACAGTTGGAAATCCCGCGTTTCTACGGGACGAGAGCAAAGAACTAACCCTCCGAGTGCATGACGAATGCAACGGATCGGACGTCTTCGGCTCGGACATCTGCACGTGCAAGCCCTATCTGACTTACGCAATCGAGGAATGCATTCGGGGTGCTCAGCGAGGCGGAGTCGGCCTCGTGGTCTATTTCCGGAAGGAAGGCCGGGCTCTCGGGGAGGTAACGAAGTACCTGGTGTACAATCTGCGCAAACGCGGCGGCGATTCGGCGGACAAGTACTTCAAGTCGACGGAGATGATTGCGGGTGTGAAAGACATGCGGTTCCAAGCGCTGATGCCCGATGTGCTGCACTGGCTCGGGGTCAAGAAGGTTGACAAGATGGTGTCGATGAGCGACATGAAGTACGATGCGATCGTGAAGAGTGGGATCCCGATCTTGCACCGTTATGACATTCCTGGTGCGTTTGACTTTCCGTGCGCACTTTCACCTGTTGATCGATCCTGCAGACCACCTCATTCCTCCCGATTCGCGAGTCGAAATCGATGCCAAGATCGCAGCCGGATACTTCTCGAGTGGCAAGCAGGTGACCGAGGCTGACTTGGTCAAGACTGTTGGTCGTACTTGGGAGGAGACCGAGCACTGAAATCGGGGCTGACACGACCTGTACTGCACCGTATAATACATTGTATACATCCTAAGTATTAGAACATCGAGTCTGTATGCTTCCTCTTTTTGGAATCTGCTTTCGCCGAGTCGTTCGCCAGCCGCAGCCGGAAAAACTTGACGGCTCTGTCCGCGGCGACCAGTCTGACTTCGTCTTTGGTAGATCTTCCTTTGTAGTTGTCGGTGGCGCGCGTCTCTTCGATGACCGCGCCGTCGATGGACACCGCACAGCTGATCTGGCCCTTCTCGGTCAAGAACTCGTACGCGACATTCTTGGCTTTCTTGCTCGCCCACATCGCCAGCCGCGAAACGGGATGCTGGACATCCATGTCCCGCTCGACGACGTGCTCGAGGATCTGCAGGTGCCCGAGTTTGCGCAAGACCCCGCGCACGACGTCCAGATCCCCCTGCGAGTCGAGGAAAACTGCGCCGACGAGACTCTCGATCATGTCGCTCAGGAACTTGGGCGCCTGCATCCGGAACAGCGCCGTCCACGGGAAAGGCGCGCCCACGTCGTTGCTCGCCAACGCCTCCTCGATCTCGGCCCGATGCTGCTGGAAGCGGACAAAGGCCGCCTGCTGGTCGTCCATGATTTTCGGGTTCGTGTGCAGCAGGCACTGATAGAGATAGACCGAGCGCGAGTGTTGCTGCATCGTCAGAGTGCGGGCAGTCCTGCGATCGGAGCGCGAGCCAGACAAATGCGGCATGGCGCTGGTCACTTCGAGATGGGTGCCCAGGCAGATGAAGGCGAGGATGTGTGCGTTGACCATCGCCGATTTGCGTAGGAACATGTGCCCGGGAGAGTAGTTTTTGCCCTCTGCTCGGAACAAGTACTCGCCCACAATCATGTCGAGCACGGCGTCTCCGCAAAACTCGAGGCGTTCGTACGATACGGTGCGCAGGTCCTGCTGATAGCTCGCGTGCGTCAGGGCCTCCACGACCAGCAGCTTGCGTTCAAAGGTGTATCCCAGCATCTGCTCCACATAGTCCACTTGTTTGGGAAGCTCGGTTGCGGTCTCGACCCGACTCAGCAGAGTCTCGATGCGTTGCGGCAATGGCTCCCATTTGATGTTCAGGTCGAAAAAGCTCGCACATTCCAGCGCGTAGTCGAAACCACCGTGCAGATACACTGCGCCGATCAGCGACTCGATACAGTCTGCCAGCACTGTACAACCCATTAGAACAGGAAATTCTCAAACACACGCCACTTGCCTTTGGTAGAAAGCTCGCCGCTGTTCTTCTTCTCCTTCTTTTTCCTCGCTGGCGGACCATTTTTCATGACAGGGGTGTCCTGCACATCCATCTGGGCGACGTCCGTTGAGAAATAGCGAGGCTTCCACTTTCTGCCCAGCAGTCGATCTAGTGGTGAAGCGACATGAGCGAATGAGCAAGGATAGAACACAAGTGATGACCTCGGATGATCCACTTGAACAGCTCGTGCTGCAGATTCGCTTTGGCCAATCGAACATTTGATACTGAATGCCCCATTTTCTGTGTGAGATATCCTTCGTGCCACAATGGATACTCGGCAAGAAGCTGGATCGAGGCCATGAATTTGAGCACCGTGTCACCCAATGTTTCCATGCGCTAGCATATCGCCGTCAGCGTCGGCCTGGAACGGTAGTAACACAACCAGAACCGACCTGATAATTGACCTGTTCTTGGGCAGTCGGTGCACACAGTGCTTCCGTCAGCAGATTCCGAGGCACCCCCGCAATTCGCGTGCCCGAAAAGAGTGTCTCTTTGATCGATTCTACAGTCAGTGTGAGATCCAACGAGCGCAAGATGCACGGCAACAGCAGCGAATATTCAGTTTCTGTCCTGGAACACAGCATCACATAAGACAGTCGCGGGAGCAGATGCATCGTTTGCCGGGGTGTCCCTGATCCTTGGGACGGCGTCAGGAAGTTGGTCCGGGGCAGCAGAGCCTGCACTTCGAGCAGCGGATATGTGATCTGCGGGACATCCTCGATCCCAAATCGTTTTTCCAGCGAGGCGCGCATTTCCAGTTCCTCCTCGGCAGAAAGCGGATCATCGGCGAACCGCCACCGCACGAACTGGAACATCTTCGCCAGCTTCGGTCCGTCGCGGACCAGCGCCAAATCTGATGGGTACGAGTAGAACTGGCCAAACGAGAGGGCATTCGCCAGGAACGGCCCGGGGTCTGCGGTGACTGCACCGGATGCCAGCTGCTGCGCTTGCCACCAACGGCGATCGTTCCATATGAACTCGTCCTCGTCATATTCGTCCGGAAGAAAGAGGTAGCAGAAATCGAGGTCGTTCCAGTCCATGCGCGAGGCACTGAACGACCAGAACAGCCGGCGCGTGTAATCACGGGCCCGGGCAATGATCGCAGGCGTCACTTGGAACTCGAGGGGCTCGATGGTCACGTAGTCCGTGCGACCAGATCGGTGTAGTTGAATTGCCTCATCGGCGGCGATTTCAACCGCTTTCGTGTGCGTTAAAAGTAGGATCGGGTTCAGTCCCTCGATTGTCAAAGCCGCGGCGTGCCAGACTTGGGGATCGTCCCCTGTCCATGGGTTCATCTGGACCGAGACTTTGGCGAAGCCAGCACGGCGCTCGACTTCCTTCAGGATCTCCTTGACCTCGTCCTCCAACTCTGGCTCCACGACACTGGTCAACGGCAGCAGCGAGTCGTTCAGCAGCCCGTTTTCGTACAGGGTCCGGTATGCCTGGAATGCCACGTGACGGTAGGCGGACAGCTTGGAACTGTGGATCCGCGGAGTGTCGAACTCTCTGAGATGGGCAGGGAGGAGTCTGGGAAGCGTAAGGTGGGCGCCAAATGGGCCGGGGTAAGATTCGATCGCGGTGGAGGTGGAATGCTTTGCAAACGAGTGCCAGCCTTCAGGGAATTCTGGCGGATCCAGGTCGTATATGGGCTTGAAGTCTGCGTGACTAGCATTGGGTATCACCGCACAAAAGTAGTTCAGATGGGGTATCGCTGAGTTCAAATCGAGCACAGCACTGAGGACGATCGCGTCAAAGGTGTAAGGGGCAAGGGGGACAATGAGAACAGTCCTCACCCAGTGCTCTCAATCCTGAACTCCAGCATCTCGTCGTCGTCGTCGTCGTCGTCATTGCTTACTGCGGCAACACGTCCAGCTTGTCTCGACGGATCGTCATATTGGGCTATCATCTCTTGCTCAAGGATCTCCCATTCTCTCACAGAAGCACGGTCGGTCCCGTCCTCTGCAAACATCAACGTGAATGTGCTCCGCTCGCGCCTCGCCCGGCCACGGCTCTGCGCCCAGCTCGCCATATTCCGTGGGGGATCCCATCGGATCACACACCCACAAGCCTGGATGTCGATTCCCTCCTCAGCGACCGATGTCGAGATGATCAGATTCTTGGTCCCCGCACGGAAATGAGACAGTGTCGCCGACTGCGCTTTGCTGAGCGGCTTGGTGATGTCAACGACGAGATTGTGGTATGTCGTGTCCGAGCCTCCGACGAGACACCCCACTTGGAACAGATCCCGCGTCGCCGGATGATGTGAAAGCAGTTCCGCCAGGGCCAGCACAGCTTCTCTGCGCTCAACAAAGATCAGGCCGCTGAACACCTGATTGTGCGACTCGGCTTCGGCTTTCTCAGCCAGCAAGCAGTCGACTAGCGCCCGTACTTTTTCGGACGATTCTTCGAGAATGTCAATGTCGCCATAAGAAACAGGGGACAGAACAACCTGGTTGAGGAGATCAAGAAGATATTGCTTGTCCTTGTTGTATCCACCGCCGAACGGAGTGGCGACCGTCCCCAGGGCCTGGTCCACCGCCTGGAAAACATACCAGTCGGCAGCCCATGGCCCGATATCCTGGCATAAAGCTGCGCCGATAGTCGAAATATCTTTCATGTTGTCGTGCGCGAAGGTCTTTTTCTTCGACTTGGCCTTCGACAGTTGCTGATCAGTCCGCTGGTAGTCCGGCGTCCCTCGCGTCATCCGACCCAGTTTTCCGCGCAGAGAAATGACATAGGGATCATTCTCAATGTCCATCGCGTCGTAAACCGTATCAAACGCGGCCAGATTTGTCGAAAAGTTGTCCGGCACGTAGTGGTATAGCACATGCTTGAAGACTGGTCGATAAACGTGACGCGCCAGCTCTTCTTTGTTTTCGCGAGGAGCGCAGACGGTACTGCGCAGGTTGTGCTCGATCGCCCTGCCACTATATCATCAACGAGTCGGATGCCACGAGCAACTACACACCTCAGCGATTGCGCGACGTTCCCGCCGTAAATCGGGCTCGCAGTCAGCCCCATAACCGTTGGTTTAGTGGCCTCGAGACAATTAGCATAGAACGTGCCCATGATCTGGTTATACGGATGCTGGGATACTGCATGATGCGCCTCATCGAAGACTAGGAGACTGATATCTCGCCCTAGAATGATGAACGCGTGGTACAGCGCATCGAGCAGGATCTGGGGTGTCGTCACCACGACTCTATGCGTGCTGATGATGGACTCCCAGAGTTGAGCGTCTTTCCACTGCTCGGGTTCATTCGAACCGGTCACATAGGCTACTGGCGCGGGGATGCATTCTCGAATGACACGGTATTGCTGTAAAAATTCGAAGATGCTTCTCTTGCCCCGGAAGAGATGCCGCTCACCTGTTCACACAACGCAACCGTTGGAGCCATGAACCATGCAACCTGTCTCAGAGTCAACATCATCCTCCAGCACAGAGCGTAGATCGCGTCACCTTCTTGGGTTCGCGTTCGATCGCGATCTTCATCCTGAGCACGGCGATGTGTGTCTTCCCTGCCCCCGTTCCCAGCGCGATGATCACATTGCGTCTGAGACTCTCTTCAAGCATCTCTTGCTGATACCCGCGCGTTTGTACGATCGTCTGGTCTTGGAGGGCATCGTCGGATTGCCCGGCAGTGGCGTTACCGTTGATAGGTTCCGTGAACTTGCCCATGACGGTCCAGATGCAGGCCCAACAAAGTCGTCCCACTTTGACACGGGCGTGTGTGTTTAACAGCCAGGGGCGTCAAAGAAGCTCTAATCGATTCTCAGAGGCGCCCAACGAGATCAATATGGGTGTTCAAAATGAATAGATTATGCCGTCCGTGATATTCAATACAGGGTGTAAAGACAGGGTCACGGCGTGACAATGGGCATAAAACGATCATGATATTCGTGAGCGAGAGTGTGTACGTTTACAGTAAGATATTATAGATGGCAGCATTACTTCAATACAGTCGTCCTCACCGTCGAAGCCCCCCTACCAAACTCGTGACGCTCCGGTTGCTAATGGCACTAGCATCGTAGCTACGTCGGGAGATTCCGAGCTCGTCCACCCCCCTCAGAGCAGTGGCACTGCTGCGCTTGCTTGCATCGAGGGAATACATCTTCGGAGACGAAACCACATTTTTCTTGTCAGAGGTAAACGCGGTCACCGGCATGCTCAGGCGTCGGATCCAGCCCTTGGGCTTTTCAGGCCGGAGAGCGAACGGTTTCTCGGGCGGGCGCAAGTCGTAAGGTGACACCGTCCGTCCTGACGGGGACTTGTAGTGCACGATCGAACACTTTTCGCACCCACACGAGGGGGCGTGTCCGTTGATCCCACCGTCTGCCGAAGAGGTCGACGAGCGGGGCGATGACGGCGACTGGGGGCCCACAGGCGGAACAAGATGGGTCGTGCTGTAGGAATGGGCGTGCCCTGCGCCAAGTTGGCCTGATGGCTGGCGGGTTTCCATTTGCGAATGTGGCCGAGGTAGAGGTGAGTTCCTGAACGACGTCTTTCGTTCACGCGGCCGCAGTTTGGGACTCGACACACTGGACTCGCTTTCTCTACGCTCTCTGGGCTGCAGATTGCGCAGCTGGGCCCGTTCCATTTCTAGCTCCTGCGCCTTGAGGGCAATCTCCCTTTCTTTTGCCGCAAACTCGCGCTCCAACTGAGTCCTTCGGCGCATGGCTTCCTCCTCGGCAGCAGCTCGGGATGATGGACCTGGTGATCTGACTGCTTGCCGTGTAGGTGTCGGGGGCAGTGCCGATTTCGGAGACCCAGGTGCAGACTCGACGGACTGATAGCGCGTGGCCAGATCGCTGACGCTCAACGGCAGGCGAGGCATATCCTTCGGGGGTGGCGAAGTCGCACCGGACTGCAAAAACAGCAACGTATGAGTATCCGCAAGGGAACAGCGAAGCTCAGCAGCTTACTGTCGTAGTATATCGGTTTCGGATCGAGTTAGCAGCGCTCCCCGAACTGAGACCCGTGTCGCTTCTCTGCAAACCCGGGAGTGAGCGCAGTGTATCTTGACGCTCGTCTCCCGGAGGGAGGTAGTCTCCTCTGGCAGTTGCATAAGCTTTCGGGGTGACCGATCCGGATGTAACCGGCGACGATATCCGCTCCAGATTTGGCAGCGCAGTCTGCGATCGCACAGGAACGGGCCGCTGAATTTCAATCTGTCGCGTAGTCGAGATGTCCACATTTTGTGGAGCGTCAGCGCCTTCAGGAATGGGCTTCAGGTCGCTAACAAGCTTGGCATCTGCAGCGAGCGGAGTCTGGACAGCTGCCTGGGCCTCTGTGTCACTCGGCGAAGGAGGCATAGAACCCGGCTCTTCCGCTTGTCGTTCAAGCTCGAGCACGGGGCTGGGAGCAGGGAAATTGGCATTAGAGCTCGATGAAGAAGTAGACGCTTGTTGAGACTGCGGCTGTCGAGGTGGGATAGGGAAATGCGTCGGAGGAGAGGGGAACGCCGAAAGAGACCTGACCGAACCGGAATACGGATCAACCAACGGTCGAGGCGGGTCAAATGACGAAGGCGGTGCGTGCTGGAGATGGGCGAGTGTCGGCCGTGGAATGATTGGGGATGGAGTCTGCCCCCGCTCAGCCATGGCCGATGGGACTGGTGCCTCTGAGCGATCGACGTTGCGCATCCTGGTCACACTTTCCGGTTCAGGGTTGGCTAGTAGATCGTCGGGATATGGGTCTATCAGATCCGGGGGTGTCTCCCCAGTCCAGCCTCCCTCGCATAACGCACGCCATTCCCCCAACGGACCGATCGTGGGCGAAAACCGCCGCACTCCTTCGCAAGTCCGCAGCCATTCTGCATCAGCGACTCGGGAAGCACATGCAGCAACCGAGTATGTCGCAATCGTGTGTCTCTGGGTGACTTCAAAGGCGTGGTTGCTGCGAAGAAGGTCAGCGGGATCGACATTACAAGTAGATGGACCTGCTATTTCTCTTGCGATATTTCGGGTCCAAGAGTACTGATGAGATTCATATACCGCGCATGCTCCTCAGCGGCTTCACGGGGATTCTTCTTCGATTTCTTCTCATATACCTGACCTGAGAGCGACAATCAGCCTCCAGTCGCACGAAGAGCCAATCCCAGACATACCAGCTTGCTTTATCCTCGCGTTGGCATTGGTGATGCGATCGTCGTGGGCTTTCTCCTCTTTCTGTGCTCTCGTTGAGCCCATAGCGTGGGAAGGGAGAGATAGCGCACCGCAAGTTTCTTGAACCACTTCTTCACCTCGGTGCTGATCCCGTCATACTCTTTGTCCGCAATTTTGGCGAACTTGGAGTCAATCTCAGAAAGTGCGTCAAAGATGTTCGCACTCGCATTGAGCGCATTGGCTCGAGTACGGGCGTGAGACGGACGTGAAGCATAAGCGGGGGAGGACGTACAAGCTATATCGTTCGTGACCTTGGCGTTGGCAGTATCTCTCAATGCCTTCACCAGCTTCTTCTGCAGAATCACCACCGCACCAGCCGCTTCGCAGTAATCGTTCAGGACATTCAGGAGAGTCTCCAGGGATTTGCAGGATTTATGGATTTCCACGCGCTCGGCAATGTATAGCTGGCTCTGCGCTGAGGCCATCCCGTGGGTGCAGAAACTGGAGCGCTCTCCAGCCTCGGTATTAACTGTCCGAGAGAGAGTGGTCTGACCTCGATACGGCCTTGACATCGTGGGAACATGGATTAGATTAGACGAAGCAGTTGATCGCCATTCATCAATCCACCCTGAGAACATGGAATATATACATTTCTAAGCAGTACACAAACGCCAGGTTTCGAAGAGGTCCGTTATCCCAGAAGCCGTTCAGTGATACGCCACCTTATTTCTCGACATCCCGGTTTTGAATTTGGGTTGTGAAGTTGAGCGTGTAGGTTGGCATGTCAGACATGTCAAGCTCATCCCACTCCTTTTCCTTTGCAGAAACGTCTTTCTCGAACACGTCTTCTTCGAAGCCTGCTTTGGCGAGCACTTGATCGACATAGACTGCAGAAAGGGTTCAAGAAAGTCACCGAAGAGAAGAAGATGAACTCACGGTAATGAGCCAGGCCCTTGCCGAAATGGAGCAAAGAGAGAACGCCAAACACGATAGTCGATAACAGAGACAATGTCGAAGCAACGATTAGGCAGGCAAAGAATGGCCAGTTGACGAAGGTGAAAGCAAAGCTGCCAAGAGTTGAGATACATATAATAGTGCGAATGACGCCCAATGCTGACCTCCAAGACTTCGCCATCAATATCCACGAAGCGAATATAATGGCAGAGATTCCAAGGAATCCGAGCATGAGCCGTTTCCACTCACGACGCACTGAATACCAGCCCATCGCAATCCATGGCGTCAATAGCTGGGAGGTGATCAATCAGAAAATTTCGAACAACAACTACCGTCGGCAACGCACCGCGAGTGTGCAGATCGAAAGCGCGATGTACAGCGGACGGTGGAACGTCGAGTCTCCAATAGCATTGCCTTTGTCCAACATTTGATCGAGCCATAAGCAGACCATGGCAACCAGCAAGAATGCGGCAAGTTGGAAGGAGACGAAGACCGCGAGGAAGTACTAAAAGTCCGATTGGATCAGCAGCTCTATTTTGTCGAGCAGGACTGCAAACGTTGTAGATCCGGATGATGTGCTTTGGAGCGCCGACGCGATTGAACGTGTTGGGACCATAAATCTGATCAAAACGTAAGTAAGAGGACAGAAATCAGCGTCAGAAAGTACCTTGATCAGTTTGACAGTGAGATAGATGGAGACAGCCAGAGCGACGGTGTTCAAAGTGAGATCCGGAATCTTCAGGTGCTATGAGAGGGCCGACGAGTCGTTTACATGCATCTGACACTCACCTGAAGATTTCTACGAGTCGCGAAATATCCTGCAAACAGTTCGTCCACTTTGACTTGGCAGGGGCTGTCCTCATGCTCCAGCAGAAGTGTGAACCGACTGTATATATCGTTTGTTCGCCAGATGATATACATGGACCATGCTGTGGCGAGGGTACGGAAACACAGAGCTGCGATGCTGCGCAGGGTCAGCACGAAAGCTAGAATGATTGGACCTGCTCACAGATGCGGCACAGATGTGTATGCAATCTGTCTATGGATCAGATCATGGGCAAAGGTCACAGTGACTCGGACAGACCGCAAAGACGGAAATACACAATATCCAGAATTGTGTAACCACCAATACAATGTCCTCACGCTCAGCATTCATCAACCTTAAGCGTTGAATGAGTCTGTGTCAGGCCTGGTCCTGAGAACTACGCACACTTGATGAGGATATGTCAGAACCAGCGTGCACATCTGGTTCATAGTGACGCTTTCGCCGGAAAAGAGAGTGACATGCACGGAATCGTCACTGTCAGGCGTCGCCTGCCAAGACATATGTGTATATTGGCAGCATTGAGAGGCCGACGCACCGAAATCTTCAAATCAGTATCCGCGAACAGCTTCGACTCGTTGCCGTTCTTCAGCCTGGATTAGTCGACCGAAAGCAATAGCCAGACGCGTCGACGCACCGTAAGATTGAAATTCTGGGGAACTGTCATGTTGGGGTGTCCCGTCTCGAATATGAGTTCGCATTGCTGCGCTGCAACGTACGTCGGGACCATGTTGCATAACTGGAGGGTGTCGTTGCCAGGAGTCCGTCGAAGGATGCTGAAATCGCTGTCCGGAACCTTCGCTTGCTGAAGGATGCTTGTCGTGACACCATACGCGGTGGAGTCCGTCGTGTAGATGTATGCTTGGATGAAGCCCTCTACGAAGCAGTGGACGAAACAGAACAAGAAGAAAATCGCCGTCAAGGGAGTGAGTGTAATTCGATCATACTAGAAGGTGGCTCAGACTGCTTATGAGGATGTGAGATCAAAGGAGCGCACCAGGGATTTGACAGATGTGAACATATTGGTAGTCTTCAGCCAATGTCACTAGGACAAGAAAAAAGAGAGAGAAAGAAAAGAAGGAAAGGAAAGAGTGCGAGAAAGGTGGTCGAGACGGGGAAGAGCCGATGAGCTACTTAGCTACCTCGATTACGAGAGCACCTTGATGGCGAAGCTGATATTTGATTTGCATCGCCCCGTTGATTGGGAGCTCGAGTAGTAGCAACTTATGTAGAGTGCTAATACTATCGTGTATCGAGTGGGTGGAGAAATTCAGGATCGACAGTTTTTGAATTGGGAGAATTTCGGCGCGGATTTACTGCCACTCGCGTTCGAAATGTCACATGATGGCGATGCGAAGAAGGCCAATTCATGGCAGACATCATTGAAAGAAGTTTTGAGCGAGATCTTGCGCTTGCCGGGACAAGTCTTTATGCTCATAGCATGCTGACGCCGAGGCTTCGGGCTCGTTTTAAAAGACCAATCTCCAAATTTCGAAAGACTTTGGTTACCCCAGGATTTCATTATCCCATTGGCGGCTGCCACTAGCACTGCCATGATCGTCAACATTTGATCCGCCAATGACGCGCAGAAACAGATCGGGCGTGGGGCGGCAACTGAGATGTCTGTCACTTCAAAGTTCACACACGTTCACAGGTTCACCCAACTTTCATGCAGATCCGGAGACATCATCATTTATCGGTCTAGGATGCATCCCACTCTCTGCATGGCTCTAAATCTTGAGGCGCAAGAATTCCCTAATCAGACACCCCCCAAATCACGGGAAAATGGTGCGCCAAATTCTCGTGAGAATGGCAATAGTCTTAGCAACAGTAGTGCTACGAAGGAATTGTTACTATGCAAAGGCTATGTAGGTTTCACAGGCAGTCCAACATAGTCCGTTGCAGATTCGTCAGGTGCATTGAAAGGCGTGGTCGTGAATCCATGAGAAGCCAGATCGGCTTCAACAGAGGCATGAGAAGACGGAGGGCGACGGTTATCCGCCCTGTTCATGGGAAGGAGGGGTGTTGGGCCGTCATCGTCGGCAGCAGACGGGAATAAGGCGGCGGGACCCCACCGTCGCAAGGATCCACGGTCTGTGGTCGATGGAAAGCGTGGGGGGTGCGGCAGATGTGAGTTTAGGTCCTCCAGGCTAGGAAAGAATTGCCGATAGAAGATGTATGCAGTGAAGACACCCAAGAAAAAACCAAGTATAACATCCTCAGGATGGTGTCGATGGTCTGTTACTCGAGTGATGCAGATGTATATGGACCCAAGCAGTGGCAGAAACACGAGCCAGGCTTTCGACTGAGCGACAGTAAGCAGGGGGCGATACGACATGCTGGAGCGCGCACGGAATAAGATTTCTGATTGAACAGTTGCAGTTTTCCGGCCCAGTACAAGCTGAGAAACCCTAGGCCTGCCGCAGAGAGGCAGGCATGCCCACTGAAGAAACTTCGCATGCCGTCTTTGATCAGCGGGTCGTCGGCGGCCGTCTGACAAACTGTGAGGTTGGCGAGCCCGAAATGTACTTGATTGGTTGCGTTCGCGAATGGGTTACAGCGAGAAATAAAGTCTGCACAGGCTTAGGATTCGGGCGGCTGAAAGCAAGAGGCGCCTACCTGGACGAGGACGGCCCACGGTGATTCGGACCACCTCGACGAATGTACCCATGAAAGCAAACGCGACCGTCACTGTAGACTGTGAGCGACTCGATCCTGCAGCGCACAGGTAGTATCATACGCCCGAGGAGTGCATGATGCAGGTCCCACATGTTCCGGCTCAGGACTAGATTGCTAATGACGACCAGCACGTAGGCAAAGACAAGAATATAGGCCAACGTGGAGTTCTGAAGAATCCGTCAAGCACCGCTACCAGAGGAGATGGAGGTAGCAGTGAAACACACTGGAAAGACTTCTTTCGGTACGAAAGAGTGCTGTATAGTCGTATCCGTCAAGTCGAAGTCCGGTATGTTCTGAAATCGATCGAGAAAGAAATTGGCGAAGAGGCTGGACACGCAATGAGCGAGAAGGTCATGGATGAAGCGATTTTGAGACCGACGCTATAAGAACCGCCATGGCCCTAGAAATAGGCTCAGCGGCATCGTTCATCATTCCTGCGGTCGTACCAATCAACCCCGTAGCTTTGTAGAATGCGCAGAGCGCGCGTCCAGACAGGCATGATGAGCGAAAGTGTGTTGTGTGATTCGACGTGCGCCGGGTTGATTTAGAGAGCTGCTCAAGGAAACGAGGGAAGAAAGAAGTGATTCAGGGCCGCCTCAGTGCTGTGTGCAACAATGTGGGAGCGTGCTATACCGCTGTAACACAGCGCTTGTGATCGAACAGGTTGATCAATCAATGGGATAGGCCCTCGGGGCCTCGGCTTGTTTTAACCATAAACGAATGCAACAGGGCCGAAACTTGTCGTCGGCTTCTCTCAAAAGAAATTGTGACTCGCTCTGAAACTTCCGCTCAACTCCGGTATCATGAATCTCAAATTCAAGATCATGGAATGCAGTGGATCAAGCGGCCTCTGGTTAAACGCCCAACAACTTCTTCGGTGTTCGACATGAGTATCCAATTACAACAGATCTATATTAGCACTACGGGAGCGTACTCAATTCGAGCTTGAGACCCTTGAGAACCTCGACTGCAGCCGCAATCTGAGACTCGAGCTCGGTTGATTTGGGCTGTGACTTGAGAGATCGGACCTGGTCTCCCTGTGCCTGGATCTTGGCCTCCAGTGCCAGGTATTCTGGAGACTTGGGAACATCTGCTTTGGCAGCAGCAGCTTTCTTGGCAGCGGCAGCCGCCTGTTTCTTGGACAAAGCAGGCGCTGTTGCTTCCGTCTGACCGGCCTCGATGCCACCAAACTTCTGGCGGAAGACTTTGGCCATGTTCTCTTCGATCCTCTTGAACAAATGTGTGGGTTTGCCGAGCGTGTGGCCGGTCAGTATGTCGGCAGAAAGAGCATCGGGAACAGCGCGCGCTGGGGCATTCAGCTGTGCCAGTATGGCATCAGAAGTCGCGGGCATGAATGGATAGATGAGCGTGGAAAGCACGTAGATCAGGTTGACAGCACGCGCCACAACCTGGGCGCAGCGGGCTGGATTCTCGGTCATCAAGGTCTTATTTAGACCGGACGACTGGAGATAGGTGTTGCCGACACCGGAAAGCAGCATTACTGTCTGAAGTCCCAGTCGAATCTTCACAGCATCCATGGCTTCCGTGTAAGCCTTGAGCAGTCCGTTCACTTCTTCAATAAATTTGGCGTCGACCGCGTCATCAAGAGCAAGCGGCCCAGGTGCATCGCCGCCATCAGGCAGGACACCGTCGTATTGGGACGATACGAACTTCAGTGTTCGGTTCACGAAATTGCCGAAACTGTGCGCAAGTCAGATTCACATCTAGGCTCGAGCTGCATGTAACCAACTTGTTCAGCAAAACGTTGTTGTTGGCCGCAATCTTAAGCACAGTCAGCGTCGAAGCTCAGAAGGATCAGAAACCTACGCATTCCGTCCATGAGAACATAGAGTCAGCGTGCTCAGGTCTGGAGGCCAGCAGATAGTATCGCCAGACAGAGGGCGGGATCCCTGTCTCTTTCGTCGAAGGACCAAACACGCCGCGGTTCCGACTTTTGGAAAACTTGCCTCCCTCGTAGGTCAGATATTCTGCGCATAGTCAAGATCGAGGCAGAAGATAGACGACAGCGAGACCTACCAGTCGATGAGACGTGATGGAGCATAGTCCAATCCCGCCCATCACCAAGCTGGACGGACGGCCAGTAGACAGTGTGGAAGTAGACGTTGTCCTTGCCCATGAATTGGTACAACTTGACATTCTGGGGATTGAACCACCATTGTTTCCATTCCGGCGTGTAGTTGGCTGTGATACTTGGGTACCCAATCGGGGCATCGAACTGAGACGAGTTATGAGCACAGCGCTCAGAGAGGCAGCCCCCCGCAAACACTCACCCAGACATCTACAGCCTGCGTCAGCAGGCTTGAGTTTTGAAAAGCTCTTGGACTCACATAGCACCTTTCCCTCCATCCCGTCGTCACCTGAAGAAGGAACTGGCACACCCCATTTCAAATCTCTGGTCAACGGAGTCGGGAGGAGACCGCTGTTCAATCGCGAGTCGATGATCTCCCCTTCAGAGTTGATAACAGAGTTGGATGACCATTTCCCCGCTGCGTTGGAGCGTTTGATCCATTCGACCGTCTTCGGTTGGATTTCATTCAGCTTGTAGTACATGTGCGTCGAAGTTCGAGTCGTAACGGTATGTGTTTTGTCGACCAAACAGCGGGGCTTGATGAGGTCCACAGCGTCTAATGTGCGCGTGCAGTTGTCGCATTGGTCACCTCGGGCATCCTAGTCGTGCGGTTTTGTAAGTGAAAGACAGCATCGGGCCATTTCCACACACTTCGAAACCACAATTCGGACATATTCCCTCCACGAATCGATCGGCCAAGAATCTAATACGCATGTTGGCGATCTCCAGAGTTGTGATTGAAGACGACCCACTTGGAGCAACCCTCGCAGTACGTCTGAGCTTTGTCTTGCTTTTCAAGAAGCCCATGCTGTCCAAGGTTCGAGAAGACACCTTGTGAGATTCTAGTAGTGTGGGTTTAGCGGCATTTAACTGGAAAGACACAGCCAAGTACTCTGTGTGCAACGGGGTGGATGTGCGTCCGAAGTAATCAAATCTAGTTCACAAAGTCAGGCGCCATGCAGATTCAAACGCGAGCGATGCACTGACCCGATGTCGAACCACTCATAGGTCGCTTTATGAACGAGATGATACTTGTCGCAAAGTTCTCGTGGGGTGATTCCCTCCTTCAATGCTTGGGTCTCCGTTGCCGTGCCATATTCGTCCGTCCCGCACATGTAGAGTGTTGTCCGATTACGCGTCCCTGTAGCGCTTCGGTAACCGTGCACAGTCGACAAGGAGGTAGAAAACGCGTACGGCTATACCTGCAGAGGAGTCAGTCACGTCATTTTCGTTCGTGGAAGGCCACGCACCGACTGAAAACATCCGCACTGAGGGTGCTGCCAATGATATTGCCTGCAAAGGGTTTGAGGCGGGTAGATAACAAGACCCTGGGCCATGCTCACCGAGGTGTGGAACGTTGTTGCAATAGGGCAGGGCAGAGGTGATCAAGATGTTGGTTTCTCCATTTTTGGGAAGGCTAAGCACGCCTATGGTTTGTATAAAAACGGATGGATTGCACGAATCTTACATGGAAGCCTGCCCCGGCTCGGGGGCAGTTCTAAGAATCCCATCCGCCGAACGAATCTTCTGGGCCATTGTGGATATCTCACGCGCAGCGACACGGATTGGGGAACTATAGTACAAGAGGGAGAGGGGACGATGGAAGAAAGACAGCGTTGCTATCGATCTTGGATCGGATTTACGCAATTATTGTTCAATTTCTGACTCCGAGTCAAGTGAGTGAGGAAGCAAATAATGCGTGGGAATACACCTGCCAGCGATTAGATAAGGATTCGCAAGATAAGCGGGACATTACGCAATCATCCTCGCTACCTGCGGCTTGCATTTTGCCTCGAACCACCATGACCCGCCGGTGAGTGATGCTCTGTGAGCCTGTTCCCTACTCATGTTCCGCAGCGAGGCGTCGGGGAACAACTACGGGTCCATTTCTCCGTCTCGACAAGACGCATTGACCACCATGGTGTGTAAGCACGAACACCGAGAAAGACTGTGCACTGATATGACGAATTTCAAGCCGAAGGAGTTTACCATGAAAGCTGTTCTCATCGGACTATTGATCGGATGCCTCCTCTGCTTCACGAATCTTTCGTTCGGCCTGCAGACAGGATGGATCTCAATGTAAGTGTGTCAAGTCGTAGAAGCAGAGCAAGGAATCACCCACTCCGCCCTCCAGGATGTCGCTGCAATCAGCTCTCATAGGGTTTTTGATATCACGACTTTTGCCTACACCGATGAGTGCTCAAGAGGTCATTGTCGTGCAGACGACTGCTGTAGCAACTGGAGTGAGCCAAGCAGACATTCTGGATATTGATGACTGACGTCCTCGAAGACTATGCCGCTTGCAGCGGGATTTGTTGGCATCATTCCTTCTCTCAAGTTACTGGATGAATCACGAGATGGTTCCGCACCAATCAACCTCTCTTGGATAGCAGCCGTGGGTTGGTCCTGTTCTGTGGCATTCTTCGGGTACTTGCTATGCAAACCGAAGAAGCGATAGACTGATGTATCCGCTAGCGTGTTTTTGTCTCCACCGATCCGCAAGCAAGTGGTATGTTTATGCAGTCTTCCGAATCGTGTCTGTCTGATCTCTTTCATAGATCATCAAAGAGCAATTGGCATTTCCATCCGGTACTGGTGTTCTCTGCAAAATGCTCTCCAGCTCTTGACATAGTGTACCAGGTACTGCGACGGCACAACTGATTGCAGTTCTACACAAGATGCCCCCGCCGGATACAACTGTCCGCCGACGCGTTGGATACAGTGCGGTCCCAGATGAAGAAGTCCCTGCTGAGACTGAGGAGACGCCTCTTCCCGAGCCACCTTCCGAGCGCGTTCAATCTGGAGGATGGTCTGCTCTTGCGGCCAGTTTCGGGGTCTCGGCCGTGTTAACACTGGCTGCCTACTTTTTCCCTGCGATATTTTCGATCCCTTTGTTTGGGGCATATCTGGCCCAAAATTGGGCTTGGACATTCACACCCAGCCTGGCTTACATTGGTCAAGGTGACTTCCCAAGGACGCTGCTGTCGTTATCTCGGGCGCTGATGTTGTTGCTCAGGAATAATCATGGGTAAGTCTCGACGCCAGCCGGCCGTTCAACTCTCCAATCTCCCTCTTCCAGGTTTCCCCACAACACTGAGCATGAGCCTGGGGATGCTTGTGGGCTGGGGCGTCCTCTCGCCCATCTCGAAGCTGTCTGGCTGGGCGCCAGGTCCTGTCGGTGACATGACTAACGGTGCACGTGGCTGGATTCTGTGGACGTCTCTTGCGATCATGTGCGCAGATAGTGCCGTTTCGTTGGTTCCAGTTGTTTGGGACTACGTGCACGACCTTGTACATGGCGATCAAGCAAACGGGGACAAAGATGAACTGGAGACCGAGACAGAAGACCGATTGGTCCCCAACAGCTGGGTGCTTAGCGGAACTTTGGCAAGCGTTGTCTTGGGTACACTTCTCGTCTGGCTTGTGTTTGGACATGACGGCATCAAACCATGGGCCACATTTCTTGGATTTGTCCTCGGTGGCCTGCTCAGCATTCTTGGGTGAGTCCTCCCTCCTTGCTTGATGTGCGCTCAACATCTGTCGTAGCGTTCGGGCCCTGGGAGAGACCGATCTCAACCCGGTATCTGGACTGGGAAAGATCTCGCAACTCTTGTTCGCTTGGATTCAGCCAGGAAACATTGTTGCTAATATTATCGCTGGTGGTGTCGCCGAGGCTGGCGCCCAACAGTCAGTGTCTCTATCATCGACAGAATTGCCACTTACTTCCTCCAGAGCGGGCGATCTCATGCAGGATCTGAAGACCGGTCATCTGTGTGGTGCTTCGCCTCGTGCGCAGTTTTTCGGTCAACTTGTGGGATCTGCAGTGTCAATCGTGGTAACCACTACGGCCTATTCCTTGTACAATCGGGCCTACGTCATTCCTGGCCCGTCTTTCCCTGCACCTACCGCTTATGTGTGGCTCAGCCTCGCCAGACTGCTTCGTGGGTATCAGTCGCCCCATTGTCCACTCACAAGCTGAAATCGGCACCTCCAGGTGACGGCCAACTTCCAGAAAACAGTGCTTTCTTCATGATAGGCTTTGCCGCATTGTTCGCGTTGGTTTCTGCCTTCAAAGCTCACGCCGCCCGCCGTGATCTGTGGTACACTCAGTGGATTCCATCTGGTGTTGCGTTTGCGATCGGTTTCTTGAACACCCCGTCGTTCTCCATCGCTCGCCTGATTGGCGGAGCTGCCGAATATATCTACCGCACAAAATATGCTCGCGGCAAGCACGACATCCGCCTCATCGTCATCGCCAGTGGCTTCGTACTCGGTGAAGGGATCGTGAGTGTTGTTTCCCTCATTCTCAGGACATACGGCATCGGCGTAGCTAGCTGCTGGGGATGTGTACCCGGTCTGTGCGGAGGCTGTCCAGCGTAGTATTTCTCGATGTATCTAGAATTGGCAAGGACACGTCAGCGCGACCCACTCCTATTTGGGTCGTCCTTGAATAAACAGTTGACGCGCTCTTAAGCGCCCATTCCGTGTCCGTTCGCCATCTCTACTAATGTCTCGCGTCCAACTTGCCAAGATCCCCGCGCTGACTTTCTACAAAGGGGAGTGGACTCAGAGTCGGCGCACTGAGGCGCTTCCTCAATTGACATGTGTTGGCAAGCCTTGCAAATTGTTTACCCCGGACGTTCGTCTTCCTGTAGTCTTATGCCGTCCAAAGACTAGGTCACTTACTGTGCCTTACCGCTCACAGGTCGTTCGCTGTGAGTCTCTTGGAGGCTCAGGGACGGATATCGACTGGAAGGTGCGCTGATGACTTGAGCGTCACATTCAAGCTGTAACCAACCTCGAGTGTTAGTGTCATGCCGACCTTCCGGATTCTCTCCGACTAGGCAGAGTCTCAGTCTCATGCGAAGGTTTTTCTAAACCCGGCGACCCGTGGGTTCTGAAAGGTCGGTTTCGCGTAACGTTGCACGGGTATTCCCAAACTGCCCTCTCATCCTGCCGCAGATTCGTGCGCTCTCGAGTACCGCCTGGTACAAGTCCCGAAAAACCTCCGGGACAGTGATTCCGACAACTATCTGCACAACACCCCCTCCGAGCCTCTCGACGTCGCGTCTATCTTGTTCTACCTGCTGTGGATTGGAGTCTGTGCGATGATCGCGTTTGCGCTCCTCCGCTCCTGTTTTGGCGATAGGAATGAACATGCTGGGGCCGGGCGGGGTGAGCGTCCAGGCGGGCCTGGTCCCCGCCCTGGCGCAGGCCGCCCTGCATTCTTCCCTGGAGGCATGGACCACGACACGGACGACGCTCCGCCCCCCTACTCGAAGATGGGCCAGGGGATGGCCAACCAAGACGGCTGGCGGCCTGGCTTTTGGACGGGTGCCGCATTGGGAGGATTGGGCGCGCATTTGTTGAATAACAGACAAGGTGGTCAGCGAACATACGATTGGGAACGCGAACGGTACCGCCATCAGTCTGGCAGCGGGGGCTGGTTCGCGAGGGATCCGCCATCACGCAGACCAGACGATCGTGGTGAGGGCTCCTCGAATCTGGGAGCCATGAGACAGAGCACTGGATTCGGAGGCTCAAATGTGCGATAGTTGGTATGTCATTATATGCTGTCTGTACTGTACTGCTCTACAAACCCTGGAGTAACTCGTTTTTCGAGCGATGTCCCTTGAGCAGACCACCACCGGGAACGCGTTTACAGCCGAGAGACGGATATTCGCTGTCCCGAATGAATCCGGATTCGTCCGTGGAGAGCGTTTGCTGTGGAGGATGGAGGCGCACATGCCTCCCGAAAAGCTCAAGCCACTCTAAGACTGGCTTTGTGGTCCAGCGTTCACCCGGCCTACCGCCTCGCTGGAACCAGCCCAGATGCCCGCCGGAGCGTGTCAGCACGGAGACGACGAACTCGTTTTGCTTGGGTGTCTGCACACGTTGCACTACAGGATCGTCTTGGGCATTGATGGTCAGGCAGGGCACCCGGATCTGCTGGGCGATTTCGTGGCTGGATGCCCAGGTATAGTAGTCGTCCACAGACTTGAAAGGGAACGGCGGTATGTCACCCACAGAACGGGTGAATATACCGTCGAAATCGGTCAGCGTTGGATTTTTGATTCTCAAGATTTCGGGGATCGCTTTTGCTGTGGGATGGTCTGGATCGGCCCTGAAAGCGTCGATGTTCTGCCGGAAGATGTTCATCACGTTTTCCCCCATACGTCGGAGGTAAAGGTGTCTTCCTATCGTGCTATGAAGCAGACTGTTGATGTCACAGTCAGCAGCGCGCGCCGTCTAAGGGATCTAAATCTGAAGCGTACGAGTCGTTGTTTGTTTTGATGTCCCAAGGCTGGGCGGAATGAGCCATTCGTACTAGATTGTATAAAAGGCTATCACTCACACATCCCAAAATGCATGCAGCGCTTATTCTGCTGTTTCGACCCTCTTCGGCAAGATACCTGACGAGCACATTTCCTAAACTTCATCAGCGCTTCAAATCTCTTTGCAACGGGAGACACCAACCTCCGATGGAGAAGCCCAATCCAAGAAGCGGCGCCAGAGGATACAGGTCCGTGATGTTCATCAGGGCTTGCCGCAAGTCTGTCAGCCCATGAGTGATAATATGTGCCACTTTTTTTCAACACTTGCCATCTGTCTGAGCCGCGGTATAGAACTTGTTGCTTGTTATGGGGGTTCCGCCGCCTGGACTCATCAGAGAACTGAGATACAAGAGCTGGGAGGACTCACAGCCCCGAAAGTTAACAACAACCGCGCGGAACCCGAGCCTCAATGCTGGTGCTAGCACAGCCCTCACGTAAGGCTCATGAGATCCTGTCAGACATGAGCGCTTCATGCTCCGGAAATCGCGAGGCAACTCCGTACCGCCTGTTAATCCGTGCTGTACAATGATGATCGGCGCGTCTTTGGGCAACTCAGACACTTCGGAAGGCGTGAAATCGAGCCCGAGTGTCCCGCCATCGAGCAGTCTTAGCAGCTGCCTGGTCACAGTAATATGAGTAGGATGGTAGCGAGAGCAGCGAGACGCACGCACCGATCATACTGCAGCTCGTCCACTTTCCTGAAGTCTCCCAGGACAGAATAGACTGTCTGCAGATGCCCACTAGACGCGTTGTCTGAGATTCCGGTTTTAATAATCGTCCAAGGATATCATACTTGAATAGCATCCTCATCGGTCGATACTTGGAGAACAGACTGGGACACCTGGATCCCACAAGCTCTTCGAGCGACACTGCTTGGGTCCCGTCCTCGATCAGTTCTACACACGCGGTGCGGGGCGCAAAATGCAGTCGAGACCTCCTCTTGTGGGTCGAGTGGTTGGACATGTCGGTCTTGGGCGGAAATGAAGAGATGAGGCTTCCGTCTCATCGGTTTGAGCATGCAGTGAGATGTCATCGTGGTTGCGTGAAACGCGATTACATATGTAGTCGATCAAGGGTATGTCATACCGGCGCTATCCGTCAGCCGATAGCCTAATTTTAGATCATCAAGCTTCAACTCTGTGCCAGGATCTGAACACGCTCGTCAATGGAGAGAATTCCGGCCCGCGAGGACTGCCTTCGTTGTGAATGTCTTGTGCCAAGTTTTCGCGTCGGAAGCACGATCACGTGGGTCTGACGTGACTGTCTGACCCTTGGTCTGATCTGCATATGACATCACCACTCGGGGGAGCCTTCTTTTGGAGCGCATTCGAGCGTACTTTTTGAATGCAGGCGTAGCTTGGCGGTCACCTGCACACTCGTCCCTTTCCTTTCCCACCATGCAAACCACTCAATCCCTCCGTTCGGCTATGAAAACGACCGTGCAGCTGCGGTGCCCCGCGAGGCGGGTACTAGGTGTTCGGTATGCTATTCTCTTACCACAATTAATGTCCAGAAGATTAACTGCATAACCCCAGATTCTCCAGGTATCACAGTCGCACTCTTCCTCTAGCCTATACTTACGCTCTTACCCAGCACGATGCACGACAATGACCCTGCGGTAATTCCCCTTGCTCTTCTGAAATGCGTTGCATGTCTCATAATCCTGCCAGATCCTCGAACAAGAAAAGAAGAGAAACATGTCAGGAACCCAGCACAGAACTTCGACGCCGCACAAGCAGCATGCACCTGGCTGGAACGAACATCTTGCCAGTGCCTCCGAGGCGTCCGTTAAGGTGGGCAGCCCGGTTCTCCTTAGAACAGGCGAAGCTCAGTGACTCCAGGCGGACAAATCCTCCGGGACCCCTAGTGACCTGCAGAAGACCACGATCGAATACATCCATTCGCGTCATTCGCCAGACGAGGCTCACTATGCCAAAGATGAAGTAAGCGGCCCGTTGTCCGGAGCCCAAGGGTCGGAGGACGGTTCTCATCCCCAGGTCCTTGTTCGCGAGACTGTCAAGAAGACCAAAGAGTGGACTGAAACACAACTTGAGCAGACCGCGAGTGAGGAATCCGTGCGTTCATTCCCAGTCAGTCGAGTGCAAAAACTCACAAACCAGCAGGTTAAGGCAGATCGGAACGAGCACGTTTAAAATGCCGAATGCATTCGCGCTGTGTATCAGTAACCCGCCTCACCAATGTACATGTACTTCTTCCCAACCAAGCTTTTGAGACATAAATATATTGTATTATTCGACGACTCTTGAAGATGGTCCATAATTGAAACAGTCGTGTCGAATGCAGCAGGATACAGGGCAGGCTTGGTGATGTCTTTGAATATCGTCGGCAAATATACATGGTCACTACTAACAGTAAGTCAGTAACATCAGCAGAAATAGGTCAAGGGGGCGTACAAGGAAGTAATCCGGAACGCGTCTTGAAACAAGAGGCTCTCCTGCCCGCGGAGCCGGGTCGAACTGTAAGCTAGAAGGAGGTCAATGAGTGTAAATTTGGCTGTGCCGGGCGGGACATACAAGCTGTAGGATAATTTTTCGTCTATTTCCATGATAGCAGCTTGATTGCCGCAACGGTAACAGTAGTTAGGCGCGCTGAAGATAGTAACAACGTTTCTATCTTGACCCCAGCTATATCCTGGGCAAAGGCTCAGCACCGATTGGGAACGATGGTCAGTTGGGTCGCACCTTCCATCACGAGCTGATGCGCTCGTGCAACAAGCGTAAGACCGTTATTATGGTTGAACGCTTCAGAGATATCTTGTCCGAAAGTATAACCTGCACCTCGGGGCGATATACCCCATCCACAACGGTCATCCGGATCCGACCACAGGAGATCACACATGGGGCCTTCGTGGGGCACTTCTTGCACACGCTCGATAGTGCGAACATGATCAAGAGTGTCGATGGAGGGAGATAGGCCGCCGTGGAGACAGAAGATCTGCCAGAAGGTCAGTCCCGGTCGAACGTCGAACTTGACTGGCAGCACACGCACTTGATTGTCAATGAGGGCCGTCAAGGGCAAAAAATCGAAGAGGTCCGTGAAGAATCGCCAAACATTGGCGTTTCCGTACTTCCGCAGGCACTCATCGTAGAACCCGTACACCTGGGTAATTTGCCGAGACTCGTGGTTCCCGCGCAAGATGGTGACACGATCACGATAACGCAACTTGAGTGCCACCAACAATGTCACCGTCTCAACCGAATAGTAGCCACGGTCGACATAGTCTCCCATGAAAAGGTAGTTCGTGTCTGGCGAGTTGCCCCCGATACGAAAGAGCTCTGAGAGGTCGTGCTGAAAGTAGGCTCCATATGTGGGATCTTCGCAACAGCATAGGACGACGTACGAATTGGCCGTGAATATCCCCACACACTGTCACTGGGCATCGTACGGGCTGAACGTTAGATTCCTCCATCAGAATCTCCCTCGTCTGGCGAGGAGATGAATATGGAGGGACAAGTGAACTGATTTGACGGAAGTACCCGCCTTATCGCATAGTTTTTTTACGTCCGCTTCGGTTAACTGCTTGCATTGACTGAGTTGCTCGATCCATGCGTCTACTTCGTGTTCCATGCTGCTTTTGGGAAAGGGATATGGTGGAGAGAGATCAAGAGCTTTAGATCCACAACGGACCTGTCACGTAACACCTCATCCGTCACACTCTCGCGGACGCGTACTTTTCCCAAAACCATGGACGGTCAAGTAGGAGGCAGTCTCAAACGTTATGGAATCCATCTGATTGACCCGTAGCAAGCGATCTACACGACGGACGAAGTACGCCTCGGTACTCAAATAACGATTCTTGATCTCACAAATTCCACCTTCAGTATGGTCGACCATTCATCATCGTCCGGGAGCAGGGAAAAAAGACGCGGACACACGGTGTAGAGGCGATCAAAGTGAGTCTTCTGCCGCGTGAATTGTTCTCGCGTCTGATACCACTCAGTCGCATATTCTCGCTGCGCGCACCGTCGCAAATATCGTTCGAACATCATTGGGCCCGAGAGGTAGGTCGGCAGCGATTACAACTCCCGACATACCTCAGCTCTGTGTATAGGTCTTGACAAAATTCTCATATCCCCCGATGGCGAAATTACTGTGACGAACGATGGGGCGACTATCTTGGGACAGATGGAGGTCGAACACCAGATTGCAAAACTTCTCGTTCAACTCTCAAAGAGTCAAGACGATGAAATCGGGGATGGTACTACGGGCGTCGTCGGTACGATCTATGTGAACACCTCTTTCGTCGATTGACCTTCGCTTTTGACAGTCTTGGCGGGTGCACTGTTGGAGCAGAGCGAAGCATTACTCGACAAGGGCATTCATCCCATCCGAATCGCGGACGGATTCGATAGAGCATGTGCGGTGGCTGTAGAGCAGCTCGATCGGATCTCGGACACCGTCGAGTTCTCTAAAGAGAATACTGAGAATTTGTTAAAAGCATCCATGACCAGTCTCGGGAGCAAAATGTGTGTATCTTGCATTTCTAGCAAAAATTCCGTCTGAAATCACCTGCCACAGTGTGTCCAAGGAGCACAGACAATTCGCGCAGATCGCCGTCGACGCGGTCCTCTCCGTCGCAGACCTGGAGCGACGCGATGTTCCCTTTGACCTCATCAAGGTGGATGGCAAAGTTGGGGGTTCTCTTGCGGACACCGTCCTCATCAAGGGTGTTCTCATCGACAAAGACATGTCCCATCCTCAGATGCCACACTCCGTCAAGGATGCTCGACTGGCGATCCTCACCTGCCCATTCGAACCGCCTCGCCCCAAAACCAAGCACCATCTTGACATCACAAGCGTGGAGGAGTATTCCAAGCTACGAAATTATGAGAAGGAGAAATTTGCTCAAATGATCAAAATGGTCAAGGACACCGGTGCCAATCTGGTCATTTGTCAATGGGGTTTCGATGACGAGGCCAACCATCTCTTGATGCAAAACGAGCTTCCAGCGGTGCGATGGGTCGGTGGTCCGGAAATTGAGGTGAGCTTCTCCTCACTCACCTGGACGACCGCTCACTTCATTTTAGCTGATTGCTATTGCGACGCAAGGTCGGATCGTCCCTCGTTTCGAGGATCTGTCAGCAGAGAAGCTGGGTAAGGCGGGTATCGTTCGCGAGATCTCATTCGGTACAACTCGGGACAAAATGCTTGTTATCGAGGAATGTGCGAACACGCGTGCTGTGACGATCTTCGTACGAGGGAGCAACAAGATGGTATGTCTTCACGTTGTCCACTGATACGATCGTTTCAAGATTGAACCAGATCGTCGACGAAGCTAAGCGCGCTCTTCACGATGCCATCTGTGTTGTGCGCAATCTTGTGGTTGATAACCGTGTTGTCTACGGTGGCGGTGCCGCGGACATCAGTTGTGCAATTGCTGTCTCTCAAGCTGCGGACGAAGTGAGCAGCACCCATTCTCGTCGACTAGATTCTGAATGCATCTGTTGGATTTAGATTCCCACCATAGAGCAGTATGCAATGCGAGCATTCGCCTCCGCCCTGGACGCCGTGCCTCTGGCTCTCGCCGAAAACAGTGGATTGCCACCAATTGAGACATTGGCCGACATTCGAAGCAGGCAGATCACGGAAAAAGACTCGAAACTGGGCATTGACTGCAACGGGAAAGGAGAAAATGGTATGTTTCTGATGCCTGGTCAGAATGTCATGCCAATCTCTCTCTGCAAATAGACATGAAGAAACAATTCGTTTATGATCCTCTAATTTCGAAGCGGCAGCAATATCTTTTGGCGACACAGGTTTGTGACCCTCTCCCGATCTTGTCATCGCTGCATTCTTACTATTTTCTCTTTAGCTTGTGCGTGCTGTGCTCAAAATAGGTTTGTCTCCTACGCTTTTGGTGGGGAAACTGCTCACCGATCCTATTTCAGATGATGTCATAACTGCAGGGGAATCTGAAGAATAGATCAATGTACACTGTCTCTGTAATCACCTAAATCAACCATCTCTTATTAGTCTCTAACGTTCGGATTGGGGGTCACCGGTCATTTCACGTGCATACTAAACGTCATGACACGCAGGTCACATGGTGATCCATTTTTCGGCGCGCGCGCTTGACCGTCAAGTTGTCATCCGCCGTCAAGGTCGAGTTAGTCTCCCTAAGGCATCCGCTGCGATTCAGCACGCTCGTGCCTCACAGGCTGATCTGGCGTCTGCTTTTTGATGGGGGTGCTTGTCAATGGGTATTTTTGCCATCACTGTATGCATCACGTGGGCTGCCGATATCACCAAACAGCGCGTTATTTACACGCGTCGAAAGCCTCTACACACTCATTTGAACACGTTACCAACTCGTCTAATCGCTATTTTATGGCTTTTAAGTAATGCGGATATGTCATTTGTCTATGGATTGGGCTCAGTAGCTTCGCTGCCATTCGGGCGAAGTCACAGTGCGATCAGTCACAGCTCAAATTTCACACTATCTCTGCGTGGCGCGCTGAGCGCCTGCCAGCTTTGCGATCCGGATAAGTAAAAATGTAAGCCAAGAAGGATCCGAGGGTCCATCCGCCACGCTCGACGTGTGAGAGTACGCTGTCGAGACGTCGTCTGGAGGAAACAGGCTCTTCCAGTGGTAGATTCCTCAGTTCTTCAGCCCAGGGCTCGTCGACTTGTATAAATTGGTCGGAATATGTTGTGAGTACACGCCAGGGAGGTTTAGATGTATGAGAAGCTGCCAATGCGTCCATCCTATTCAATAATTCGTAGTTGCAGTGGGCATGTACCATGTGACCGATGGGTCGGAGTTTGAAATACACCTATTGACAAGCCCTGCGCGTCAGAAAGCAGACGTACGATCAAGGATTTGAGGCACGAAGGTTCTTGTGAGTTTCGTCTGCTTCAAGGAGACTAGGTCGAGTTCAAGTACACACTTTCCAGCATGTTGCGCAATCAAGCAAGAACATTTTCTTCCATTTTAAAACACAAAGCTTTCCGTATTCCGCCGACACAATATACTTCCTGTCCGCAAGCATTACATTCATCAGCGAGTGTGTAGCATCCCGACCTCTGCTCCGGCGTGTCTCTCTGACTCCAAGCAAGGCGCACACCACGGACACTTGACACGACCGGCGCCTGGGACCGGGTGAGTGCAACTACTGGCCTACCTCGTCGTATTCTTTACCCATTGGAAGTGCTCTCCAGAATCACACTGCACTTCAAGGATTCAAAGGGCGAAATCTTGAAGACCATCGAAGCAAACGAAGGCGATGACCTCCTCTCTATTGCTCACGAGCACGATATTGACTTGGAGGGTACGTTGTCGCGTCCTGTGCACTACGCGCGGAAAATGTCCTGACTCCAAGTGCATAGGCGCGTGCGAGGGCTCGGTGGCGTGCTCGACGTGCCATGTCATACTGCTGCCGGAACACTACGATCTCCTGCCTGAACCCGACGATGACGAGAACGATATGCTGGACATGGCTTTTGGCCTGACGGACACAAGTCGCCTGGGGTGTCAAGTGAAGTTGACCCGGGAGCTTGACGGGATGGTCGCGACATTGCCTGCGGCTACCAGAAATATGTTTGTAGACGGTGCGTGTCTTTTGCGGTCCCCTCTTCCAACGACGCAGTGTCTCAACATGTCTCAGGCAAAAAGCCAACGCCTCATTAGCAACGGTCATCTATAATAAATAACTCGCCGTGGAGTAATACCGTATTGACAGTTCCGGATAGACCAGTAAATATCACACCTCGCCCCCAGTCTCAACGTTATCAGCTGGAACATCCGCCTTGTAGTCGACTTCCTTGATTCCGACCTTCCCGCCGAGCTTCACCCACGTCTCGGTCCAAAGCTTTTTGCGCTCTTCACACATGGCTAGACAGCAATTAGCCCATCCATTTGTGAACCAGCGATACTGCTCACCAACAAGTGCCGGCCAGTACTTTTCGTGAACGTACTCAAAGTTGTAACTTCCGCCCCACCCCTCGGACATGACCACATCTTCAGTGAAGATCTTGTCCTCGAATAATTTGGGATTGAACGCCAATTTGGTCGCTGTAAGCGGGTCGATGAATGGCTTGATCATCTTGTAGAATGCATTGAGCAGGAAAGGGACGTTGATGATTAGCGCCAGGCCAAGTCTGGGAGTAGAATGAGATTAAAGAGCAACAGGAACTTCATGCAGCACCGTTCGGGGTAATGAGTTTGGAGGATGTTTAGCACTGATTTAGACGTGCTGAAAGAGGGGTTCTTCGCCTTGTCAGCATAGTTGATGAGGAGGTCCAATGACCTTGCACAATTTTAGGCGGCTGCGAATATCAGAAGATTAGATGGAGCGCACTCTACACCTGCTGGCATCAACTCGATGCATCTCTCGAGCATCCACACCACGAATTGGATTTGCCGCGGTGACTCGTTCGTGTTCTGTCGAGAGGGAAGAAGGTACATTCCCGGACGGCCGTGCACGTCGAATCCTAGCAAGATTTGTTTACCGGTCGTAGCCTGGCACAGAAGATCAGGGTAATGCCTGAGTTTCAACGGAACGGAGGGATGCCAGCATACCTCAGGTGCAACTAGATCTGCCGTGACAGTATCGTAGACACCGTATTCTCGCCTCCACAAAAGAGTTTCTTCTAGCCGCCGGACGGCGATCTCAGTCTTCCACTTTGAAGCGCGCAAATACCTAGGAAGTTTAACATCCGTCCGCGTTGAGGCCGGTTGAATCATTAGTCGCATACCGCAGGATACATTCATACGAGAGCCACATTTTTTCTACATCCATGAGAGTCTTGTCGGTGGATTCTATTCCTGCCAATAGATACGACGGGTCTTCGAAATGGGCTTGCACAGCGGCTTGCATTTTCAACTGATCTTCATTTAGCGGAGGTTGAGTTAGAGGCGCTGCAATCTGAGCGCTCGGAGGCGGAGGAATTGGAAGGTTGACCGTTGGAGACATCGAGAAAATAAGCGCCGAAGAAAGCAAGGTAGCTGTGGGTCTCAAGCTCAAGTAAATTCCAGTGCAAGGTCAAGTCGTGCCATGATACACGATCACGTGCAGTTTAGCAGATTGATGAATATGTGGCTATGTAATTAATGCCTTGATATACGGATTAGATAACGAAATGCGTATCACTGCGACCCACTTCCCAACATTGAACAGATAATCGTCTTTGCATCGGCTCTAGACCAAGATCAAAGCCGATGATTTATCTTCGGGCTTTGGATTTGAGCGAGTTTCTGATTAAGTTGGTCGCTAGGAGCCAGGATCCGATGATGAATTATGATTGAACAAGAAGGGGACCCAACCGTTGCAGTCTTTTTCAACAAATGTACCGCCCGATGAACATCGCCACATCTCTCTACTCAATGTCTTTTGGGCCCAGAACAGCGATCTGTCGTGGCACTCGATCCGCAAACAGGCCTTAAAGGCTGCAGCGCATCCTGAGCACACACAAACACACTTTCATTCCCCCAACAGTATACTAGACATCCTATGAAACGCTCCAATATCCCGCCTTTAGCCCTTGTAACGACGGATAAACCTCTCGCCGAAGGAGAGGTGCGTCTGCATCTAGATGCAAAGTCGTTGGAGGAGACACCCCACGTGACTGTTGAGTCCCCTGCCGGTCTCAAGGCTCACTGCGAAAAACGCCGGAAGCAAACCGCCTCCCCATTCCGTAGAATCGGGGCCAAGCGGATTGCTCTTCCTCCTGCACCAAGTATCCCTCCCCCGGTCCCCGAGGTTCGCAAAGAGATGGACGCGCTTTCCCTGCCCGGTGCTTCACCCAAACCTTTAATCCTATGCTTCGCGAACCGGTCTCTGCCTGCGATTCCCGGACAGATACCGAGGCCGGAGAATGTATTGCCACTGGGGGATGCCCTACCGCTGGAAATGTCGGCCCACTCACGTTTGGTCTTTCCGGCCAATGCATCTAGTCCCCGCAGTTCGGTCACAGTGCGAGAGGTGCAAGATCTGCCGTTGTCCCCCCGAGGCTAATGGCGGGACATCGTTGCCTCGCGCGAGTCGCTGCCGATCCTTCAGACCTGTAGATCAAAGCGGATCAAGGTCCCCTCAATGTCCGAAAGGTCTTCTGATACCGTATTCAAGGACTTGGTCGTGTTATTTAACATGTCTTCGCAAATCTCCAGATGTTATATAGAAGTTGCAGTGTGACGAATTCGAGGTGAAACTGAGCACGCAGTTGGAAGAAACGCGTCAAACGCAAGTCCTTTCGTCGTCTCGTTCGAATGACGGCAACACCTCAGCTGGACGGTCAGCAGGTGTGTGGAGACTTGTCTTTCGTAGAAGTTGATAGTTGATCCTTTTAGCTCGGGGATATGCGGGCGTCATCACCGACTCACAGAATCTGAGTAGAAAAAGAAGGGACGCATTTATATAGCGCGGAAATCCCTGCCGTAGAACCGACTAGGACGGGCACGACTAGGATAAAAGAGTTAGAGTTGACCCTGAGCTGAGGTCGGCGCTCAACTAGAAGCAGTCTCGGCCTGGAGAGCTGGATGTATGCTGATGCATGACGCATAGTCGTGACGCGATCTCCTTCCCATTCCGTTATAAAGTGGGCGAGGTTGGCCGCTCACTAACAGAAGCCTCTACTTGAGCCTCTCGCTCCGATGTCCACCTTCATCGATCCAAAGTCTATAGGACGGCCAGAGCGGCCTCGGAGACACGTACGAACGCTCACCGGTACGCGGCACGTCCCGTGGCACGGTCTGATCGCTTACCATCACGCTTATTCTTTCTGACCCCCAGGTTATCTCCCTGAAACGGATGCAGCGGGGAAGGAGAAATGGCCCAGAGGCGACGAGAAGGTTTGGAAAGAGGCTCTTCGCGGTCCCGATACAGGTGGGAGGATGATAAACCACTCTGCGTGGCGCTGAACTTCGCGGTATCTACCAAGATGTCACGTCCATCACCAAGAACATCGTCAGCCACGTTCAGACATCTATCGCCAGACAGGCTTACAACCTCGGTGCGCGTTATTGCTCGACTCGTACCCAACTGTTCCCAACATGACCGATCATCCCCAGACAACCTTGGCGCGTATCAAGCGACGGCCCTTTCCGTTCGCGACAACTTGCTCTTGAACTGGAATGAGACGTCTCTCCAATATACCCGCAAGACGCCGAAACGCGCTTACTACCTTTCCCTGGAGTTCCTCATGGGTCGGACCCTCGATAACGCGCTCCTCAATCTCGGTCTTAAGGAGAAGTTCACGGAGGGTGTAGACCACTTAGGTTTCAATATGGAAGATCTTCTTGAGCAGGAGCGCGACGCTGCACTCGGTACGCGGTCCATCTCTTTAGAAGCTCCTACATCTGACATTTCGTCCAGGAAACGGAGGACTCGGGCGTCTGGCCGCTTGCTACTTGGACTCTAGCGCGAGTCAAGAACTTCCAGGTGCGTGGACTTGGTCCGGGAAACGATTGTGTATATCAAAATCAACACCTTTAGTGTGGGGTTATGGCCTTCGTTATAAGTACGGTATCTTCCAACAACTTATTTCCCCGAGCGGGGACCAGCTGGAGGGCCCGGATCCATGGCTCGATAACCAGAACCCATGGGAGCTTCCTCGCCTCGATGTTGCTTATGATGTACGCTTCTACGGTCAGGCTGAGCGAGTTCCCGACACTTCGCGCGCGGTTTGGACTGGCGGTCAAGAGGTTCTCGCGATCGCGTATGATGTAATGATCCCTGGGTGCTATACGACCACGACGAACAACCTGCGTCTATGGGAGAGCAAACCGAAGCGGGGATTCGATCTCAACTCGTTCAACGCTGGGAACTACGAGGCCGCCGTCGAGTCAAACAACAGCGCCGCAGCCATCACCAGTGTCCTCTATCCGAATGATCATACTACCTGTAAGGCGGTTTTTTGGCCTATACGAGCACTAATCGCATCCCAAATCTAGTCGGGAAGGAGCTTCGTCTCAAGCAGCAATATTTCTGGACCGCAGCCAGTCTTGCTGACATCATGCGCCGTTTCAAAAACATTGGCAAGCCAATTGCCCAATTCCCTGACTGTGAGCACTGTTCTTATCAGCATATGTGTTCCATCTGACCGTTACCAAGTCGTTGCCATTCAGCTCAACGATGTTTGTTTCTTCGTTTCTACGTGTCGTATGCGAGATTGATTACTTCTAGACTCACCCTACGCTTGCGATCCCCGAGTTGATGCGCATTCTCCTGGATGAAGAGGAACTCAGTTGGGACGCGTCGTGGCAGATTGTCACCAACACGTTCTTCTACACCAATCACACGGTGTTACCTGAGGCCCTGGAGAAATGGCCTGTGTCGCTCATGGAACATCTGCTCCCTCGCCACATGCAGATTATCTACGATATCAACTTGATCTTCTTGCAATGTGCGCACCAAAGGCTCAGGAAGGTGTCGTTTGTTCTTAACCAGTTCCAGCCGTGGAGAAGAAATACCCTGGCGACAGAGATCGACTCGCACGGATGAGTTTGATTGAAGAAGGATTCCCTAAGCAAGTTCGGATGGCTTATCTGGCTTGTATCGGTAGCAGGAAGGTCAATGGGGTCGCCGAGCTCCATAGTGAACTCGTCAAGACAACGATTCTGAAGGACTTCGTCGAGTTTGAGGGACCTAGCAAGTGAGTGTAGTTGTCAACGTATGTGCCTTTGATTGACCATCGGATACTAGATTTGGAAACGTGACGAACGGAAGTACGTCTATCTCAGCGGCTGAGAATGAGGTGTCGCATTCTCACATGTCTCTTATCCAGTCACACCTCGTCGCTGGCTTGATCAGTGCAACCCGGAGCTGAGTGCACTCATCTCCAAAACATTGAAGGTGGACAAGGCTGTCTGGCTCAAGGATCTCACGCTTCTCGAGAAACTGCTGCCTTTTACTGAGGATGCTGCGTTCCGTGAGGAGTGGGCTGCAATCAAACAGCGCAACAAGGAGCGTCTGGCTCATCACGTGAACCTCACACTGGGCTTCACTGTGAATACGCATGCCATGTTCGATGTGCAAATCAAGCGTCTGCACGAGTACAAGGTGTGAATGTTTTTATGCTGCATATGTGTTGCTGAAATTTTGCTAGCGACAAACTCTCAACATTATGGGAGTGATCCATGCAAGTCATGACCGTCGACTGTAGTGCCCTCGAGTACTGACATGCTGTTACAGCGCTACTTGACATTGAAGAGTATGACTGCCGAAGAGCGCAAGAAAGCTAATCCCCGCGTCGTTTTCTTTGCCGGAAAGGCTGCTCCCGGTTACTACATTGCCAAGCTGGTAAGTTTTATCATGAGAGATGACAGCTAAACCTGAAACTTTCCAGACCATCCGACTGATTGTGAACGTTGCACGTGTTCTGAATGCAGATCCTGACACCAAAGATTTGCTCTCTGTCTACTTCATGCCCGACTATTCCGTCTCACTCGCTGAGATCCTCATTCCCGCTTCGGATATCAGCCAACACATATCGACTGCGGGGACTGAAGCTTCTGGGACATCGAACATGAAGTTCTGTCTTAATGGTGGACTTTTGCTAGGCACGGTCGATGGCGCAAACATCGAAATTGCCGAGGAAGTTGGCGAGAACAACGTCTGTGCGTGACATCCCATTGTCCTTCTCTCTCAAGCCGGATGCTGACAGAATCTGCCATCCAGTCTTCTTTGGGCACCTGACACCGTAACTGTCCCCCTGTTTCGCGTTTACGGACGAGTACTGATCTGGGCGTCCAGCGATGTCGAGGAACTCCGATACCAGCACACGTATCATCCAGTTCCGATCGAGGAGAAGTGTCCTGCTTTGGCACACGTCTTGAATCAAGTTTCCGCTGGATTGTTTGGGGATGGAGGGCCCTATGAACCTCTGCTCAACACGATTCGGCAAGGAGACTACTATCTGTTGTGTGACGACTTCGACTCTTGTATGTGTTACCTTGGCTGCCTTGATCCTTGCTCTGATCCGCTCTGCAGACATTGCGGCGCTGGCCATGGTGGATGAGGCTTACCTGGATCGCACGGAATGGGTCAAAAAGTCCATCCGCACCACGGCGAAGGTGCCAAGCCAACCTTCCGGCCGGTTTCTGTGCTGACGAAAGTTCATTCTAGATGGGCAAGTTCAGTTCTGATCGTGCCATCAACGAGTATGCGGAGAGTTACTGGAACTTGGAGCCTTTGCATATCGAATAAATTGTTGTTGCATGCAATGAAATGCGAGCTTTGTTTAGGGTATATCCCGGGTCTTAAGCTATACTAGGTCCGTCCAATACATATGTAATCTAAGCTCTACAAAACATTCAAAGGGCAGGGCGGCCGATGGTCGTGACCTTGAATCCGATCTTCGTCAGTGCATCCGCATCAACAAGCAAACGCCCATCAAACACAAATGCGGGCTTCTTCATGTGTTTGTAGACCTCTGCCCAATCGATCTCCTTGAATTCTTTCCACTCGGTGGCAATCACAACAGCTTCGGCATCCTTGCAGGCATCAAAGGCCGACGAATAGATCTTCACCTGCTTCTTGACTGGATACATGTCAGCTCAGGTTCCACGGGCGTGGCTTAGATACGCAACTGGTCTCGATAGGCGATGCGGGCATGGCCTCCTGGAGATCGTACCAGATCTGCGACTCCGACACCTGGGGATCAAACACGTTCACGATAGCCCGTTCAGACAAAAAGTCCCGAATGAGTGTGATGGCAGCAGACTCGCGAGTGTCGCCAGTATCCGCCTTGAAGGCAAAGCCAAGTACGGCAATGCGCTGCCGGCTCATGAGTAACGATCACGATATATGCGCCTGGCAAGAAAAACGAACCTTGCCGGTGATTGTGTTGAACAGAGTGTCCACAACACGTTTCGAGAAGCGACGTTTCTGGTACTCGTTCATTTCAACAACCTGGCGCCAGTAAGCGGCGACCTCGGGTAGGTGCAAGCTCTCGCTAAGGTACACGAGGTTGAGAATGTCCTTCTGGAAGCAGGACCCGCCAAAGCCAACACTGGCCTTGAGGAACTTGGGGCCAACACGAGAATCATAGCCGACAGCGTGTGCAACCTCATCAATGTTCGCCCCGGTGGCCTCGCAAATGGCGGAAAGCGCGTTCACTGAGGAAATGCGCTGGGCAAGCATCGCATTAGCGGCCAGTTTCGATAGCTCCGAAGACCACAGCCCGACGGTCAAGATGCGGTTTTCCGGAACCCAGTTTGCGTAGACACCGGCAAGGGACGCGCAAGCATCCTTGCCCTCAGGGGTCTGCAAGGAACCGATCAAGACACGGTCGGGGCTGAAGAGGTCGCTGATAGCAGTGCCTTCGGCGAGGAACTCGGGGTTGGAGAGGATGTCAAAGCGGCAGTTCGGCTTCGAGTTAGCCTCGAGGATAGTGCGCATGGACTCGGCCGTACGACATGGGACGGTCGACTTCTCGACCACGATCTTAGACGAGGTCGCGACCGCTGCGATTTGGCGAGTGGCCAGTTCGACGTAGCTACGCTGCGATAAGAATCGCGGAGCGCCGGGAAGATGGAGATGCAACGCACTTCAGATCAGCGGCAAAACCAGCACCAACGCCGCTCTTCTTCGTCGGTGTGTTGACACTGACGAAGATGAGGTCCGCGTCCCGGATGCCGTTCTCGACGTCGGTGGAGAAGAAAAGGTTGCGTCCACGGCACTGGCGAACAACATCCTCGAGTCCAGGCTCATAGATGGGAAGCTTGAAGTCGTCGCTGTTCCACGCATCGATACGCGCTTGGTTGAGATCAACAATGGTGACTTTGATGTGCGGGCACTTGAGCGCGATGACAGCGCAGGTGGGTCCACCTAGAATAATTCAGCCGTCGCGTCGTTTGATATCGATGCTTGAGCGCGTCGCGTCATAGACTAACCAACGTATCCAGCACCAACTAAACGAAAGGATGAGCGGGGTTAGCAAGCTTCAGCGAGAGCAACGGACTGCAGAGGATCTTCGTCACTTTGAGGGGAGCCATTGTATGAATGAGGGTGAAGAATGAGGTTCACTGGTGCCAAGATGAGCAGCGGAGTTTAAATATCTTCTCGAAGGCATCACGGCGATGTCCCGCCGGCGTCGGAAATTGACCGGATCACGGTTCCTGGCGAGAGTGCGCCCCGCATTTGCTTGCGTCCTCTGTTCGGAAACCACACCTAACATCGTCCTTTCCGTCGTTATGTACCCTCAAATCAAGCCTTATAGTACCGGGAACCTCAAAGTCTCCGACATACACACATTATAGTCGGTCGGGTCGCTAGATCTCCGTTATCGCTTTGCCGACGTTAATTGACAGTTTCGAGTTGAATGGCAGTGAGGATGGTGTTCCCGGTTAGTTCCCTCCCCAGCCCTGAGAAGTGTCAAACTGATTTTTGCAGTTATCTTTCTTCATGGTGGGCCCGGTGGGGGCTGCGACGAGGAGGACCGCTGCTTCTTCAATCCGAACAAGTACAAGATCATTCTCCTCGATCAACGAGGATCAGGCAAATCCACCCCGTAGGCGCCTTCGTGCATGCTTGGGGGTATCGATTATCTGATTCCACACGAAGGGCTGCTTCTCTCGAGGAAAATACGACCTGGGATCTGGTCAAGGACATCGAAAAGCTACGCGAACATCTGAAGATCGAGAAATGGCATGTCTTTGGTGGCTCTTGGGTCCGTGCATGTTTCTGAATATGCTCGCACGAACTTGACTGGCGATTAGGGTTCGACTTTGTCTCTCGCATACGCTCAGGTCACTGCTTGCCATCGAGTCTAGCACTCTGATCCTCAGATGGATTCCAGGCTCATCCCGACCGTGTTAGAAGTCTAGTTCTTCGGTGATTTCTCCCGCTGAATCTATTTCCGCTTCAATTCTGACGCGTACCGACAGTGGAATCTTTACTTTGCGCAAGAGGTGCTTCCAAGCGTGGGACAATATGCCCAGTCTGACACGGTCGCAGCGAGCTGCGTTTCTTCTATCAGGATGGTGCATCACACCTTTTCCCGGATGCATGGTATGCATGCTCTAATCGGATATATATTTCCCTCACACCAATCTGACAGGGAAGATTATATTGCCCCCATTCCGGAAGCTGAACGGCACGATATGATTCTTGCTTACCACGCTCAACTTAACTCGGTTGACGAGGATGTGCGCCTTGAGGCTGCGAAAGCTTGGTCCAAATATGAGTACGTTTAGTCTCTATGGCACTAAAAGATCACTCACATCTGTTGCCAGGATGGCGACATCCAAGTTGTATGTCGATCCGAAGTACATCGCACGAGCTGCATCCGACAAGTTTGCGACGTCAGCAACTATCCTCGGCTTTTTCCCCGTCTAATCATGCCAATAGCGCTTTCGCGCGGATCGAGAACCACTACTTCGTCAATGAGGGCTTCATGCGTGACGGTCAACTTCTGGACCCTCAGGAGATTGACAAGATGTATGTGCCCAAACCTGCTCGCTACGCCCAGCAAATGAACGCTGTCTGAAGCCGGCATATTCCCACAATTGTGGTGCAAGGAAGATACGATGTCGTCTGTCCGATCACCACAGCTTGGGCTCTCAAGAAGGTAATGTTCATGCTTGACGTGTTTGGATTTTGTCAACTGTTTCCAGGTCTGGCCGGAAATTACACTCCATATCGTTCCAGATGCCGGTCACAGCTCACGCGAGACCGGTATTGCTAAGCTTCTTGTCGAGGTATGGACAGAACCAATCTCAAGTGTCACACTACTAATGGAATTTAGGCAACAGATAAGTTCGCAGATCTCTCCTAGTGGAGCTGGTTAGTCCCCCCAATGTAAACTGTTTGACTTGTTGAGAGAATTGTCACGATAAATTAATATGACGACCGGAACGAATTTCAACCCAGGACAAGAATATCCCGGCTGCGTGTTGAATGATTGTCAGCCCCAGACAGGGGATTCTCCCGACGGGACGACGGATAGACACAAGTCTTTGTAGAGCAAAGTGATGTGCATGGGTGATCGGAGAGTCTTAAAGTAGGCTGAGTAAGAGTGAGCGACTCAACACCGTACCTGACAGTAAGAGACACGACAAGTGGAATCAGAGAGATAGTCACCTGACCGTGATAAGCATTCACTTAATATAAAGTTATCAACATGGGTCACCAATGCAGCAGCATGGCGCAGTCTGGGAGCGCGCGGGGCCCATAACCCCGAGGTCACTCGATCGAAACGAGTTGCTGCTAAATATGTTTTTCGATGGATTCAATTAAATTTAAATTGTATTTATATGTTCCGTGTCGACCCCTTATATGCAGGCTTGGGTCTCGGACGCAGCGTCTGAGCCACTGGTGCATAATCAGTACTCACAGTTTGGTCCCTGTACTCGTCTCCCTCTCCGTCACTATCCTCGCTGATCTTCTTTGAGCGGCTCTTCTTACCCTTGCCCGCAGCCTTCTTTGTTTTGATCCGCTTTTTCGGGGGCTCTCTATCCTCAGAGCCCGAATCAGCGCCTTCAGCCGGCCTACCCTTTTTGCGAAAGTCGGAGACGACTTTCTGCAGCCGCTTGCTGGTATATGCTTGCCGCTGCCGGGGTGCGATGGTCCCGCTCCCAGAGACGTCGAGAAAAGTGTTCAGATTGCCTTGTTTATTGAGTCCACTCTGGGGACCTCGATCAAAGGGGAGTTGAATCGGAGCGAGCAGGGGCGTACTTGTCCTCGTTTGCGGATCTTTTGGATGATAGGCAGAAGGAGATCATCCACTTTGTCCGGGCCCCAACCCAGCTCAGCCCGGAGAAATCTGTGTCAGGTCAGACAAGGAAAGGGCTTATACGTTCACGCACTCTCGCAGTGCATCGAGATCGGGAAACCCCCATTTGAAAGGCTCATCGGATTCGTCTACGGTGGGGTGATAATACGCATCTCGCTATCCAGGTCAGAACTAGCAGATCCTGGATCCTTAAGAGACGACGGACGTACGACTTTGCTGTTCGGCCATTCGGGTGGCAGATACAATTCCTTGAAATTCTTCTTCTGCGAGACCATCAGAACAATCATATGACGTGACCGACGACTGCGACTTGCAAATCTTTTCCGAAACGCGGACTGGTTGTCATCTGCCGAGTCCTTACCGCTTTGGACCTTCATCCACCATTCCTTGAATCGGAAGAGACCGTCGCTGCCCGGAAACTCGCCCAAGAGCTCCATTGCAACGACTGGCCCGACGCCTGGCAATCCGTCCACGTAGTCGCTCCCGAGAAGATATGCCAGTCTGATCAGCGCGTCCTGCTCGAGTCCGAGCTCTCGTTCTAGATCAGCAAGCAGGAAGCATTCCACGGTCTTGGTTTGGTTGAACATGTTTCGATATACACGGGGTCCGCCGAACAGAAAGACATCCGAGTCGTCAGTGATGATGCCGCTCACGAGCCCCAGCTGAACCAGCACTGCGCATTGCGCTTCTGCTTCCATCGGGGCTGTGATGTATGGAATGCCGAACAGGCTGAGCAACATCTGTCACCCCAAAAGTCAAATTAGACTGAGCACTGAGCAGATATCAAGTACCATGATTTGGGTGATCATCTGCTGGTTGATGTCGTCTGAATCTCGCATAGCCGCGCGTTTTTGCGCATGTAAGGCTTTTATTTCCTCGTCTATCTCCCGCTGCACTTCATCGAGATTCTTGCCCTTGACTTGCGACACGAACTGCGCAAAATCGCCTTCCTCAGCCTCAGCATCCATCTCTTGTGCGGCATCCCACTCTTCGGCAACCGGAGACGGAATGCGTTCCTGTATAGTGGGAGACGGTGATCGCGACCAATCCAATACCGGTGTAATCGATCGCGCGCGGTCAACGATGGGAGTGGGGGGCCTCGTTTCCATCGGCGTCACGGGGCGAGGAGCTGGAGGAGATGGTTGAGCGATGTCGAACGAATCTTCTGGAGAGGACAGCCTCGTAGCTGGAGCATCTAGAGCTGGCATGAGCTCTACCGCATCCTCAATAGTTTCTATGGTCTCTATTTCTGGGGCGAACGAAGGTAAAGCCGTTTCCATGTTGTCGTCGTCGTCGTCGTCGTCGTCGTCGTCGATAAACAGCGGCGCGCTCTGTTGCTGCTGCTGCTGCTCGGGTGAACGCAACAGGAAGGGGGCACCGAATCGCAACCCACTGCTCGCTGGTAGCGGAACCGACGGCGGCTTCGAGATCGGCCTGGGAACATCTTTGAGTGGCGTCGTCGGAACTACGGATTCCCCGAAGGAGGAAGAGGACGCTTTTTGCGGAGAGCGTATGAATGATCCGCTGGCAATAGAGAGCGTAGTTTCGAGACGGTTTCCCCGCACAAATGTGTCTTCTTCCACGAGTTGCGTCGCTTCTGGGAGTCTGGTCTTGGAGGAGGAGGCCACGGCATTGACCATGGCTGGGTGTAGTTCCTGCGCAGGCTGACGAGAAATTGCAGCATCCTTAAGTGATTCTTGAATTGCCCAAGCGAGCTCGTCGTTATCTTCGTCATTTGTAGCAAGTTCATCCGTCTGGCGTTCTGAGGATACTACCATCGAGCGCTGTGGTCTTGAGCGATGGCGGCTTTCGATCGCAGTCAAGTTCAGAGAACGCTGATATTCTAGCAGATCAGGGTCTGGTATTCCGACAGGCGGTCTGCTTGCCCAGTTAGTTCCAGTGAGACAGAGCGACGAAAAACAAACATTTCAACTTCCTCCATATCCTCATCGTCTTCGTCGTCCTCTTCTTTGTCCTCTACTGCTTCAGAGACAGTCACAGATTCATGGTCAATCTCGATCGGCTTTTCTCGCGTCCCATCATCTCTGATGCCCAAAATCCACCCTCCGTCCTTGCCCTCATTCTTGACCAATACGTATTCCCTGTTCCGTTCACTAGCAATGCGCACAGGAACAACGATATTTGCGGGACCCGTCCCGATGAGATCCGTCGTAGAGAGCAACTGCTGCGTCAGAGTATTTCGCTGCTGCAGATTGAGGATCTGCTGCTTCGAGAAATCGAGTGGGGTTTTGGATGAGCGTAGCATGTTCTGCAACCTCAGATATGAAGTTTGGCGCGACTTGAGCCGCAGGTCGCCGACGATTTCATACTGCACTTCCGTCGGAAGTTCGCGGAACGCGGGAGAGGTGACATCGAAATCGTCCGGGCGCATATCCTCGATGAAGTCTCGCAGCTCTTCTTCCGTGGCCAGCCGCGCGTCGGGCACTTCAGCACGCGTCGCTTTGTTCACTGCGGCATCCAGATCCAGCTCCGGCAAACGATATGGATCGTGGTCGTAGAATTTCGGCTTGACAGGAGATGCGGATGCGGATGCAGCCGGTTTAGATTTCGCGGGGGATGCTTTGGGAACAGATGGGTCAATGTCTTCTAGGTACACTGTGGTGTCGTCCAGGACAACAGGGCCAACCGGCGCCGCGCCTTTACGGGGTGGTGTCCTAAGAGCATCAATTCTTGCCTATGAAGCCAATAGTGAACTGTACGCACGAAGATGACGCGCCAGCATGCTTCAATGCCTCTCTCCTCATCTGAGCTGCCAGAAGCTTCTCCGCGAGCTTGGCATGGCTCATCGCGGCCCCGGCCTTCTTCTTCTTCCTTTCATTCTGATATTTGATACAATTCTGAGTCTCAGATGCAAAAGACAGGCGAGCGGGCACGCACAATGGTGTTCCGCTTCAAGGCCGGAGCTCCACCGTCAAAAACGAACACGGGACGGATTCCAAAGAACAGTAGCTTTGCAATCCGCCTCAAGAAGCCCAGTACGTGCGCGTTCAGCAAAGCGCGTCCATCCTTTCCGCGCATCGTCGCTTGAAACTGATATATCCAAATGCTCGAGTCAATGGCTAGGATTTGGCCCTCCAGGGTTTCCAGCCTTGAGACGCGTCAGCAGCAGAAAATATGGGGGCTGGTTGAAATACCAACATAACAGGCCGCCCCACGGGCTCGAGGAGCTTCCATAATGACTTGACGCCCATAGTGGTCGACACAAACCTGCGTCGCGCTTCGGCTCTCGGGATTGACTCGATCAGTGGCTGTGGGGATCCCTACTAAAGTATGGCCGCCATTGCTTTGCGATTGCAGCCACTCCCGGATTACTGAGTTTCATCACCAGATTGAATCGAGAAAATAGATGACGCTTCGCTGATTAACGATGGGGCCCTACCTGGGTGCAAACCCCGAGGCAACCGGCTTGTTATCTAATCTTGCCGGCTTGGTCGTGCTTTGCCATCATTGATCCCGCTATATATACTACATCTGCTCATCTGTAAAGGTTCTTCAGTCACCACGACTCCGCCTCTCAAATGCCCAACGCTTAGAAGCGTTGATAGAGCTAGAGATGGTGTAAGCTTTGGGGCTCCAGGAGAAGGAGTAACAGTCGCGAACCCAGAATGTGCGGGCAGTTATGGCAATTGTCGCAAGACCTCAGGTAAGATCGTTGTGCACACTCTTCCCGCAAGCCGACATGACAGCTTACTTCCAGGCCGACTACCACGCTGTATATTCGGCGTGTCCACCTTGGCAGCTACGGCGCGTCAAGCTGGAGAACGCGACCGATCAGGCGGGGCGAGGACGACGTGTGGTGTGTCTCCTCCAATCGTCCAAGATCTCTTTCGTTGCTGACTTTTGCGCGTAGTGCTGTGCCATAAACACATCAGAGGACGGCGCCAAGTCTACTCCCCTAGGAAGTATCCCATACACCTTGCAGCGCGTGGTGCGTCCGTGTGCTGCCTCTCCCCAGGTCCTCTCTCTGACGCGTCGTACAGCGCTCATTCAATGATTGGATGCTACGCACCCGCCAAAGCAAGAGTAGCAAATCAAATAACCCAGGCCATCCCCGTTCCGACATACTGCACCAATCGATTAGTGTCCGTTCGTCGAGTAGTACGCGTTTTGGAATAATAGTGAAATGTCTCGTGAATCGTGCGTAGTTATGAGTGGGGAGCCGATGTGAACGAAAAGCATGGTATTGTATGCACAGGATATCATATCACTAACCAGGATGTATGCTAAATAGTCCAGTCAGAAGTCCGGTATAAGATTTACGTGGGTGGCCGAGGGCTCAGTGGACGAGCACTGTTGTCGTCCACTGGCCGAATGAGCGGTGAACCTCGATGTGGGGAGCCCCGAGCAGGCGAACTTGTGCGCGACGGATATTGGCCCTGGTTAGCGAGGGCATTGGGAGGAGTCAGTGGTTGCTCCATCGGCGAACCAGTCCCGTTTGGACCCATTTGAGCATTGAAGGTAGACATCCCCGTCATCTGCATGCCCATGGGCCCACCCATCATCGGCATACCCATCATCGACATGCGGGGGTCGTACATGCTCATCATCGGATTCTGTTGCTGAGCACCCATGTTTTGGCCATCGCCTCCGACTTGCGACCCAGCCGTAGAGAATGCGACCATGGCCTGCTGGTAGGCCTGGGCAGCTGCCTGCTGGGCTGCAAACATTTGCTGGGGCGTGAACATGCCTGGGTAGCCCATCATTGGGTTCATTCCCTGCTGCCCGGTCATCATTGGGTTCATCCCCTGCTGCCCAGTCATCATCGGATTCATCCCGGTCATCATCGGATTCATCATCATCGGGTTCATCATCATCGGATTCATCATCGGATTGAACTGCGGGAACTGGCCACCGTACATGGAGCCAGTCTGCTGCATCTGGTCGAATTGCTGCCGCTGCTGTTCGTCAAAGCGCCGTTGCCGATCCTCCGCGAGCCGTTTTTCGCGCTCTCTCTCTGTCAGAGCGGCACCGACACCGCCTTCGCGCTTGCGCTCTCGTTCGTGCGCGGTGATGGCACCAAGTAAGCCCGTTTGCGGCGGCGGTGGCTTGTTCGCCACGTTGATGAGCGAGGCGCCGCTTTCTCTCGCCAGCTCTTCTTGTCGCTTGGCCGAACGATCCTCTCTATCTTGCATGCCGGCAGAAAGAAGTCCCTGCGGTGTGAACGCCTTCGTCATTTTGTTTTCCTCAAGCTGAACAAACGCATCGCTGCGTGGCTGGGTCCCTGGCGGTTGTGCTCCTGCTTGTCTGCCCGGGTCGAGGACCTGACTCCACACCGTCTGCCGGGCCGCTCCGGGTTGCGGCATCTCATTCTGCGTGCGAAGTTGCGTGCCGTCATCGAAGAAAGTGCGCCGGCCTGCCTCGGAAAACTGCTCTGATGGAACACGTCGCTGCATGCCTTCACCTTCCATCCCTGCATTCGGTCAGAAAACGGTCACATAAAGATTAGAAGCACGAACGTGGAGGAATCTGTGGCAAAGTCCGGGGTGGTCGCAGGTGCGAATAGGTCTGAGAGTCGTCCTGCATGGGCCGTGCCATTGAAGCAAGACCAGGCGACGGCTGCCTGTGAATCGGAGAGGGCTCGACATCAGAATCTGCGTCGTCATCATCATCTTCCTCTTCCTCTTCCTCCTCTTCACTACTATCACCCCAGCCGCCAGCTGCGGTGTTACGCGACTTCCTTCTTCCGTTAGACCGACCAGGCCGTTGCGCAGCCGCTTGGTGAGCTGCCTGCTGGGCTTCGAGCTTGGCTTTGCGTTCTGCAGCTTGTCTTGACGGTGCGAACGACGATTTGAACTCGGTCGGAGGAGTGGCTGAACGATCGCCAGGAGCACCGCTCGATGAGATTCGCAATGGCGCAGTGGGTCTCTGTGCATCAGGGAACGAAGCTGAAGGCGGAGGCGAGTGACTTTGGTTCTCGCTGACCGTCTCGTCGACGTGTTCGTTGACGTCCAGGTACGACAGCGCGGCCAGCACATCCAGGTCTTCGTTGGAACGCACTGGCGGTGGAGGCGGAGGCGCGTCTCCGTGCATGCTAGGTTCGCTCTGAGAGTCTTCTTCAGCAAGTGGAGGGGAAACAAGTGCGGGTGCAAAGTGAGAAGGAGAAGGAAGTCCGGAGGAAGAAACCCCACGGTCAGGGCCACGATATCCCCTTGCGGCAGGCGTGCCCTGAGCACGTGCTCCCGATGGCTTACGTCCGAGGGTCTCTCGCGCGGAACTACTGCCGATCCTACTGGTGGGGCCGGTCGATGACAAGCTGCTTGTCGTCGGCGACGACGCTCGGGCTGCTTGTTGGTTCGAAAACTGATGGAACGCTGTTGGCGTCGCCTGTCTGATGACTGGGCTACTCTGCGATCTGTGCTGATCATCTTCCTCCTCAGACTCATCTTCACCCTCCGAGATTGTCGTCGGTTGTCTCGGAACATTCATCTTACTCGCTCTGGGCCCAGAATCGAGCTGCATGTAGTAGAGTGCGCCAGCTTCATTCAGAAGATTCGCGTCGTCAGGCGGAGCATGCCCGGCGTTTGAGTTCGAGAACGGTGATGTGAGCGCAGATGCCCTCGAATTCGATGACATGGACCGGGAGGGCCCGACCGCTGAGGCTCGTCCCCCCTCTAGGGAGTGCGGTGACGTGAGCACAGATGTCGGGGAGTGGTTCATGCCCCGATTGACAGGCTCGGGTGCCGATGGCGGGACCATGCGGATGCTGTTCCCTGGCTGTGACTCTGAGGCAGGCGACTGCAGTCGTGACACCAGCTCAGGACTTGGCGCACGTCCCAGATCAGACGTCGGACTGCTCGTGAAGCGGCCTCCGTCGAGCACGGCATCAGCAGCTGGGCCAGTTGTAGGCGACAGAGGCCGAGCACCCGGGCCCGAGCCTTGGTCTGGCAGTGTTGGCTTTCGCTGGGGGCTTAACACAACATTTGAGTCGAAGGACGAGGTGTTGCGTTCCGTAATGGGGGAGAGTCCATTTCGACTCTGCGGGATCGGCGGCGTTCCAGCTGGGCTGTCGGATCCAAACGCGAGCGGCGGAAGTTGAGGACCTGTACCCGGTAGTGGTGGACTGCTTATTGGTCCGTTTCCTGGAGCAGGAGACCCGACACCTCCAACAGCTGGCAACGAGGGAGCTTGAGCAGATAGACGAGGCGGTGCTGCCGCAGCATTGGGATTCGGGTCTCTTTGTGGCATCCGCTCGAGTAGGATGTTCAAAAGCCTGTTCCTGATCGATGAGGTGCGGTCATCCCGGACATCCAAAGTTTCTGCTTGCTCGCGATCGAGGAAAAGAAGCTGAAATGGTCACGAACTCGGATAAAACATGATTGGTGCGAACTCACCTCTCGGTTGGGACCGACTGGATAGCCAAACATGAGTGAGGCGGGATCTCGAGGGTCCCATGTCCAAGCTTGTGGCCTGCCATAAAGTCCGAAAGCATCATGGATAGCTATCGCAACTGTGAAATGAAATCAAGCTATGCCAGTCAGCCACGCACCGACGATCCATTTGATCATCTCCTCGGCCTGACCCAACCCGTTTTCTAGTTCTGGCATGAACAACAACCAGCCCTCCCTCTTGGCCATATCATTCGCTGTCTCCTCCTCGCCGATCACGCCTTCTAATTTGATCAGTGTACTGCGACTGATGAGGTCCGGGCGCTCTGGATATACGGCGAAGCCTTGGGTAACTTTGCTGAAAGTCAAGAGCGCTTTTCGCCGTTCCTTAGGCTTCGGACCAGGGTACATGGCGATGGTAGCTTGAACTGGCAGAGGTGCGTCTGAAGAACCGTGGTCTTTTGAGGAGAATAAGTTGGACATGCGCTTCTTGGGACGGCCAGCACTTCCAGAAGCGTCCCGAACTGAATCCGCAGCGGCGCTGACCGTCATCCACACTTTCTTCCAATCTGTTTGCCCTGCGATACGGATGCGTGCCCAGCCTTCCATTCGACCATGTTGTAATGTAGTTGGATAATCCCGTCCGTTGAGGGTTATTCGTAGCAGATGAGCGGTATAGATCTCCTCGAGACGAGACTTCTCCCATGAGCACAGGCGCAGCGCTGCAGCCCATGAGAGCAATGAATCCGTGTTGGGACAGGAGAAGAGCAGTAGATTTGAGCCGGCCGTATTGAGTGTGAGCACATCGGGGTATCGCTTGGCTGGTGAGGCCGCCGTCTCCGGCACAGTCACGGACCCGAGGACGTGAACGAATGCGTCCGTTGTATTGACGTACGTCGGGGGAACCTCTCGGCCTTGAGCACTCGCCTCTTGAATCTCTTTCATATCCCATATGCTAAGCGTCGTCCCACCCAGTTGCGCCCAGACTTCGGTCCATCCGTCATCTTTTGAGGGTTTCTGCCCATCCGGTTGGCGCTCGACGTGTCGAACCAGTGGCCCTGAGAAGTATATTTTCTTGGCATGCGCGTTTGTGAGCTGGACGACGGATCGAATTTCTGGGTGGAGCGGGGGTGGTGGACCGGGATTCCCAGAATGATCCAACGACGAACGCGTGGATTGCGCGGGTTGTTGGTGCGACATCCTCGAGTCGCTGCGGGGCTTCAATAGATACGACTGGCTTCGTTGAGGAGCAGGAGGATCCTGGGGACCTTTACGATTGAAAGAAAAGAAGGACGAGGATCGGGTATGTCCGCTTGTTACTGGAGCACTGTTGAGTGGAGGGCGTCGTTGTGACTGATTGTCCATCACCGAATTGAATTCGGGTCGAGGCCGCGCGGTCTCCTTGAGCTTTCTGAGCCGAGCGGGAGATACGTATCCCTGGTTTCTGCTGTCCCACTGAGGGGAAGCGCTCATGCAATGGTGGTACTATCGAGGTGTGTGAAGTATCAACTGGAGGTGATTCAATCGGTGGGTCTGTTACGTAATTCTATTGTTAGCCGTACCGTCACTTTATCGTGACAGTTCGCGCTCCGTGGATACAACCTCACCCTGTCTGCTCAGGCAGTTCACGGCTGTCCGTCGCTGATAAATCGAGCCCACTACGTAAATATTCTCACCCTCCTTCGCCCCATAGCGTGAAGGCTAGTCTCCCCTCATGCATGCGTTATATCAAGAAATTTTGCCTGCAAGCGGCGTGCAGTTCGTGACTGCTCTGAAGTTGACTCCCTCAACGCAGTCAGACTCGAGAA